CATTCCTGACCTGGAACTGTGGGTGAGGGGAGGGCAAGAAAGCATCCTCAGTAGCATCTGCTGACTTAGCGAGAGCCCCAGCGCAGGCTGAGTGAGGCCTGCCCTGGAGAAGGCACCCAGGCTGCATGCTCAGGCTGCATGCTCAGCCGGGGGCTGCATTGCCCCCACCCTGACGCCATCCCGTGTGCGATTTGTCCTCACAGGCACACGTGAGCTGCTGTCTCTCTCAGGGTTGGAGGAATAGAGGCAGAGGGGCTGGTCACGTGGCACCCTCTGCCTGGCACCCACCAAAGTTCCAGCCTCCCAGGAGAAAGGCAGGTGCTCAATATCAATCACATTCGCGTAAACAATGTAAGCACAGGGAGCCCTTCTTATTGGGGAAGGCGGGACACTCCCCCAATCTCGTCTGGTCCCAGATGCTAGCCACGGGCCAACCTACTCACAGGTAGGCCTTTCTGCGGCCAGCAGTCACTGGCCCACTGTGCTTTGACTTTTGTCTGCTCAACACCATTGTATTATTACTTGTTAATTAGGTTTTCTTAGCTACAAAAATAGAAATTTTAACATCATCTTGCAATTATTAGGGAATGAATAAAATCATTTCACACGCAGTGTTTAGTATCTTTTTCCCTCTCCCACAGGAACACCCACATTCGCAGGGAACGAAAGCCAGCTGGGTCTCTGCATTTAATCCTCTTCCTGCCTCCCACTTTCCTTTCACCAAGAATCTCAACACTTTGGAGCAATGTAGGCATCACTCACCACTGGCTGCAAGGGACTGTTATAAAAACACACGTGACTGAAGGACTTCCCAGGGTCTGCTGACTGGCTCCGTAGGCTCAGGTTGGGGGCACCTGCTTGATGGGCCCACCCTGGTCACATCGGAGCTGGCCTCCAGGCAGCTTGACTTTAACTTCCTTGGCAGTCAGGGCAGCCCTTCTTAGTGCTGTTCTACAAACAAGGGACCCAAACACAAAGAAAGCCAGGCCTGTGGCCGCAGGAGTGGTGGTGGACCCAAGTGGGCTGAGATGCCCCGGGAGGAGCTCTGTCCCCACTGACCCCAGCCTTGGTCAGCCTTGGAGAACAGAGCTGAGTCAGGTTCACCGAAGAAACGGTTCTCAACATCTAAACTCAGTCAATGCATGTCTACCGGGGTCTGTCCCGGATCTGAGGGCACACTGGGGAATGAGGAGGCAGATGCTATTCGTACCCCCGCCAGGAACCCACCCTGAATGAAAGGGTCTGTCATGCCTACCCCATCCTGCTTCCTGACTGGCTCTCTGAGGGTGGGGCAGGGCATTGGCCAGAGCCCTGGCTGCACATGCCAGCAGATAGTGAGCCTGGGTCAGGGGTGCAGACGGAGTCTTCATGGCAGCTCGCCCTCCCACTGGGCCTGTTGACCATAAGGGCAGGTGAGGACATAATGAGGGGCTTCTGGATGCTGCTACCAGAAGTCACAGATGCTCCAGCCTATCTAGTCAGGAGAGCTGGTTTTCCTATTTTGCTTAAGGCATTTTGCATGCATTTTCTGTTATTTGCCTGGCTTATTCACTCACATTTGCTGATTGGGAAAAAGGTCTTCTAGATTTCTTTGGTTTCAGCTGCCAGAGAACCCCAAAGCCACAAGAAGGAACCTGCACCGGAGAGGCCTGGCATTGGGGCTTCTGGTCACTGTTCTGGTTCCTGCTACCCCACCCTGGCACACTCAAGCAGGGAGGCTCCCACGTCAGTGCCCTTGAGTGAAAACACTCCTAGTGCTGTCATGCTCCACCACTCAGAATCTCCAGGGCCTATAATGACAGAAATATACAGGAGCTACCTGCATAAGTTTGCATTTTCTGGTAGCCTCACTGTATTGCACTTTGCTATCTTGCTTCACAGGTGTTACATTTTTTTTTTAAACCAACTGAAAGCAACACTCCACTAGCAAGAAGATCATGACTTGCTTTATTGTGACACTCTCTTTACTGCAATACTTGCTCCATTGCAATGGTGGAACTAGACCGCAGAGTCTCTGAAGTATGTGTGACAATTCTTATAAAATTGTACATCAAAAATATTACAATTTTAACAAGCCTTCAATAAACTGGAGGGCACATGACTTACTTCACACACCCACTGCCAACCAGGAGAGAAGGGGAAAAGGCAGAAATGTGAAAGAGCACTTAGCTGGAGTCTCACCATCCAAAAGAGACTGCTTGAACAAGCCTTGGCAGGGACTCCAACTTAGAGAAGACTAATACTGAAACAAAAAGCAAGAACTTCCAAGACTAAAGTGTTGTTCGGAAGCAGTTTCCATACTGGCCATTAGCATGGGGCTGGATGAGCGACTGCAGGGCTTGCTTTAGAAGCAGTCATCATCCAGATGTGTTTATGAGATTAAAAAGAAGCAGGTCCAGCCACAGCTGTTGTGGCTCAGTGGTTGACTGCCAGCCTGGGAATCAAAGGGTGGCTGGTTCAATTCACAGTCCCCAGTAGGGGGCGTGCGAGAAGCAACCACACATAGATGTTTCTCTCCCTCTTTCCCTCTCCCTTTCCCTCTCTAAAAAATAAAGTAAATAATTAAAAAATAAAAAGCAGGCCCAGTGTTATCTCTGGGTGGTGGAATTATGGATAGATTTCCATGATCTTTGAAAGCTCATCTGAATGTTAATTTTTTTTTTAAGATTTTATTTACTTATCTTTAGAGGGGAAGGGAAGGAGAGAAGGAGAGAAATATCAATGTATGGTTGCCTCTCGTGAGTCCCCTGCCGGGAACTGGCCTGCAACCCAGGCATGTGCCCTGACTGGGAATTGAGCTGCAATCGTGTGGTTCCTAGGCCCACGCTCAATCCACTGAGCTATGCCAGCCAGGGGTGAATGTTAATTTTTTTATAATCAAAATCATTATTGTAATACAAATTATTGAGGTTTTTTTTAAACATTCTTTTTCTGAGCCTTCTTCAAAATCTGAGGGTAGTTCACATACTCAGCACCTCTCAGTTCCAACCATCAAGGACTGTCCAACAGCCACCTGAGGCTACTGGCCTTGGTCCAAAGGCTCCTGAGAGCTCTTTGCTGGCCTTTTGAGGAACTCTGAGCTATATTTATTCACATTCCTGACACCAACTATGTGGGGGATTTCCACACAAGCCACTTCCCCAACTCTCCAGGCACCAGCTGTGAGTCCAACAATTCAGTTCAGTTCTGATACTATCTACCTGGATGTAGCTTTAGACCCCACAGGTCAAGGGCTCAGTCCCCCAAGACTGCCCCCCTTCAACAAGTCTCCTGAACTTCTGACCAACCTACTACAGTTGTGGGTAGAGACCTGCTCAAGTTCCAAAATTTGCTAACACAGCTCACAGAATTCAAGAAAGTGTTGTATTCGCTATTATGACTTCATTATAAAAGACACACCTCAGACAGAGGTGCTGAGGTATGGGGCAGGGGCAAGGAGCTCCCCACCCTCTCCTGCTGCCCTCCCAGTTCCTCCACGAGTTCCTGTAGTTTAGGTCCCCACCGCTGCCACCGGCGTTTCATTGCACAGGCACAGTTGACTGAGCCATCATCAACCTCTGGTGAGGGCACACAATCTCTAGCCACTCACTGTTCTCTCCCAGGAGGTCAGGGCTGCACTGAAAGCTTCAACCCTTTAATCACACCTTGGTCTTCTGAGGACCTCTTCCTGAAGCTACCTAAGCCCCCAACCATCTCATTAGCGCACCACAGACACCACTATCACGCCAAGGGTTTTAGGAGCTGTATGCCAGGCCACTGTCTTATATCATGGCACAGGACCTGACATCACAGCCTGTCCTCTGCCCTGCCTCGGTCCTCACATCACCATGAGGAGAACCGGATGGAATGGAGACAAGGCCCGATGAGCTTCAATCATTTCTCCAGGCTTAGGGGAGTAGGATCCACCCACCCACGTTTTCTGCATCCCCACTGTACCATAAAGCCTCACGGTGATTAATTTCAGAATTTGCATCTCACTCACTGCTTCTTCGGGAAAGGAGCACAGGGAATAAAGTTGCAAAGGGACAGTTGAACGACTCAGCTCCCTGACAGCAATCCTATCGTCCTACTCTCCAGAGGGCTGGCCCACAAATGTGACTGTGTGCCTGGGGCTGAACACATACACCTGACAGGGGACATTCTTCCTGCTTCAGTTAAAGATCAGACCTTTCACCAGAATTCTCAACAGGGCCAGAGCAGCCTTCCCAGGTGAACAGGGGCAGCCCTGGGGTAGGGCAGGTGCAGAGAAATCTGCTTTCTAGGTACTCAGAGCCTGGTTGGCTCTTAGTGGCCTTGTCACCCCCCTTCCCTGCCCCCCTCCCCCACTGGGTGGGAGGGCAGGGTTGAGCATGCGCTGCTACGGAGCTGGTCTTCACCAGGCCCGGGCAGCAGCTGGTCTGGGCTGCCCTTCCACCCTTCCGGGGCAAAAGGGGCAAGAAAGGGAACAATGAAGAGGGATCTTCTCCCAGCCTGGACAGGACTACCTCGCTTCAGTTTCACCTGCCTATGTGGCTGCAGCTCGCAGGGCCAGGTGTTACACCTACACAGGCTGACCTGTGGGGGTAACCCATGGCCTCTCTCCCAACCCGACTCCTGCAACCCACAATCCACCCTTCACGGGCCTCCCCCACCCATGGTCGTCCCAACCCACTGCACCGTGCGTAGTGTTCCCCAGGAGCCCGGCCCAAACTCACGTCGTCCATGAGCAGAAGCAGGATATTGGGTGGCTGCGCGGTGCCCTTTGCCTGTGCGTTGCCCCTTGCCCCCAGTCCCACCACACTCAGCACAAGCAGCACCCGCCACCTCATAGCAGCAGAAACCGCCGCCATGGCAACCACACTAGGCTCCGCCGAGCCAGGGCGAGCGGCAGGGGCAGGGCGAGCGCCTGGGGCAGGGGGAGCGCCTGGGGCAGGGCGAGCGCCTGGGGCAGGGCGAGCGCCTGGGGCAGGGGAGGCGGCTTGCCCGGTCCGGGTGGCGGGACGGGGCGGGGCCGGCTGAAAGATAAAGGGCGGGGCCTGGGAGGCCGCGTGACCGGCTCAGGAATCAAGTGACCTGGCTGGCCCGGCCTCCCAAGATGGCGGTTTGCGTGGCAGTGATCGCTAAGGAGGTGCGTACGCTAGCGGGCGGTCGGCGCTGCGGTGCTTCGGCTCTCGCCGGGACCCCTCCCTGGGTCGCGCCCTCGCTCCCCGCCTTTCCACTTCCCCCTGTTCCGAGGCCCTGGAAGGTTAGCCGGTCGGTTTCCCAGAGCCGACAATGTTGGGGCGGTTCCGGGGAGGCGCCGCCCACGCCCGCTTCTGCAGCTGCGGAAGCGTCATCCTTCGGTGCCCACCGGCCGGGACTTTCTCCCCCTTCCTTGCCCCGGGCCTCCGCCCTCCCTGCCCCCCACCGGTCTAGCATCAGAGTTAGCTAACAACTTCATTCTGCTCCACCGCGCACAACAGTCGGTCACGCCATCCCCCACTCGGTCAACTGACTCAACACACATCATTCACAGGGCTACTTTAAAAACAAGTCAGATTGTCTCATGCACCCGCCTAAAATTTCTCCAGTGGCTTCTCATTGCCTCAGGCTAAAATCTGAATAACCTGGTCCCCTCGCCCCCCTCCGCCATACCGGTAACACCCTCCAACCCAACGGAATTACTTGCAGCTCCCTGACAGGATCTGCTTTCTCACCTCTAGCCTCTGCATCTGAAACTCCTCTCCCCTTAAGCCCCTTTCTCCTTCACTGGCCACTATAGATTTCATTTCCTCTAGAAAGCTGTTTCTGAATGAATCCTGATAACTGCGCTGGGTAGCTGTCCACATGCTCCTGTTCCTATATCCTTTTGTGTCCTTTGCATCAGGCTTATGAGGCGTGCCACCTTGAAGCTCCTGATTGCTGGCTCCCTTCTTAGCACGTGCTACCACACGTTATTTATTTGGTGGCTGATTTGTTGACTGTCTACCAGATGTCACCCCTATTAGAGTAGGGGCAGTGTAGTGTTCACAGTATCTGGGCAGCTCCAGGCCAGGAACAGAAGCAGTGAATTGTGACATGAGGGAGCCTGGGGAAGATGCTGTTAACTCTGGATTAAGAGTCAGTTATGGTCAGAAATGGATGTGCAGAGATGAAGAAAGGTTTGAGCCAAGCCCTGAAGGGTTTAAGTGAGAGGGCATGCCAGCGCCTCTGCTAAGGTGATGAGACTGCAGGAAACCACCTTATCAGGAAACAGCCAGTATTGTAGGGCCTGGAGGAGAGCATGTGCTGGGCCCACACATAAGGTGAGTGACCCCTCCAGGTGACATGGTTAGTTGTCAGGCTGTGCTCACACCTGTTTGTGTGAGCCATCTTTTTCCCTGCCCACCCTGCTGATGCCCCTGTGTAGACCATATGCAAACCTTCCCTGAAGGCAGTGCATTTCTATGGCTGCTTGACGCTTGGCTTGTCCCCCACCCTGAGTGCTCTGGCCTTGGTTTCATAATTGGTGCACACAGGGTGGATTCTCATCACTGCACTTGCTGTCATCCTCTCTTGCAGAATTACCCTCTTTACATCCGCAGTGTCCCCACGGAGAACGAGCTGAAGTTCCACTACATGGTGCACACATCCCTGGACGTGGTGGATGAGAAGATCTCTGCAATGGGGAAGGCCCTGGTGGACCAGAGAGAGCTCTACCTGGGCCTCCTGTACCCCACAGAGGACTACAAGGTGTATCCTTCATGCCCATAGGGGCCTGTTGGCGGGCCTCTCCCCACAGGGTTCCATCCAGGGACTACACCTGCAGTTGTGTGGTGTACTATGTAAGATCAGATTACCTTGAAAGGCATTTTGAACCATCACTTGAAAAAAAAGGTGAGAGCTTTCAGCCCAGGGGGAATTAGGGAAGCTTGAAGCTGATTGAGACCTTGCCCCTTTTCCCTTTAATTAGGAGGATAATGTGGGAAAAGCCAGGCTTGAATTTCCTAGAGAATTGTGACAGTCTGCATCTGTCCTTTGTTAGGTTTATAGAAGAGCTGGGGAAGTTCCTACTTTGTGCCTGTAAGGATTTCTTTCTCAGCGGGGCTGCCACCTCTGAGCAAGGGATGATCAGTTCACTTATTTCACAGTCAGGCCCGTCCCCCTACAAGTCACTATAAAATCTTGACCACTCCCCCGGGGGCAAATGGCTTGAAACCCAAGGAGTTCAGAGATGTTCCCATGAGCAGTAGTGTAGCTTGCCCACAGTGACACTTGCCTGGGAGCCAGTGTTCTACAAGACGGAGTGGCTTTGAGAGCGGTGGGTACCGCAGGCAGGCTCTGCCCTTTGTGAGACTTAGACTTTTTCGTAGGGGGCAGGGCTGAGGCAGGCAGCCCCGAAATTTGAATTAGAACATGGCTTAGCTCCCTGCCTTTTGCTTTTCTGGTAAACACCAGAGCTGTCCCCAGGAAGTGTCTAGCCACACCCCATGTGGTCCTCCTGGCATTGCAAGACAGACCCAACCTGGGTACTTCCTGCAATGCAAGGTTGGTCATGTTTCTCCAAAGTGGCTTTGGAGCCAGGCATTTGCACAGATGGCCTTCTGCTTTCACACTCTCCGCACAGCGAGGCTGTGTGTCATGCCGCCACAGAGTCCCTGTGCTGACGGTGTGTTCCCTAACCAGCTGCGCAGATATGGTTACGTGACCAACTCCAAGGTAAAGTTTGTTATGGTGGTGGATTCTTCCAACCCAGCACTTCGAGACAATGAAATCCGCAGTGTAAGTGCAGGGGGTTTGGAAGCCGTGCCTGGGGCTATTTGTTTTCTCTTTGTTTTAAAATGTTGAAAGGTAAATAATATGGCAGTAATCATGGGTACACATGAGTTAAAAACATTGGCTCTCATTTCAGATGTTCCGGAAGCTGCACAACTCCTACACAGATGTGATGTGTAACCCTTTCTACAACCCAGGGGACCGCATCCAGTCCAGGTGGGCCTGCTGCTCTTGGGTTTGCCACCTCAGTTTGCAGGCCCTGACTCGCTGAGAGGCAGTGATTCTGAAAGTCGGGGAGGAGGTCTTTTTAGGCAACAGGGAGTGTCCTCCTGAGGCAGCAGCTCTGATGCAGCAGAACCCTGTCTTTTTCAAACTTCTTTCAAACTGACTCACACAAATCTTCAACATATAAAATGGGAATTAGGGGGCAGAGCTTGTCCATTTGTTTTTCTACATGTGCCCAGCAGTTACTGGGGTGCCGTCACAGAGTCCAGTGAGGGCCCAGGCATATGGACAAGAGCCTTCTGCGAAAATATCCTCCTGTCATTGCCTAATTCTTTGATATTGAACTTGGATGGTGAGGAAGGTGGATTGATTGCAGAGATCTTCAAATTACTTTCAAATAGATACAGTCTTTGAATATTGGAACATCATGAAAATGCTTCATAAAGGAGTATTGCCACCCTCCTAGCCTGCTCCTGCGAATTCCCTACATTTCTAGACACGTTTCCCAAGGTCTTCTTGTAGCCAGCAGGTGAGAGGACACTGCAGTGACCTGAGCCAGGTCCTTCCATGGTGCCTTCTTTCAGCTCTGACACTGCTTTGGGTCATCCTGAGTCCCACTGGGGAGAAGCCAGCACCATTATATGGAACCCCGTGTCTCTTGGGCTGTTCAGGGCAGTGGTGGCCACTGTACTTGCTGAACTGCAGCCCTGCACGCCTTTGCTGCCGTGCCTCCACCCCTGCCTGGAAACCCAGCAGGCAGGGCCTCAGTAAACTGAAGGGAAGTAGGAGGCAGCAGACTTAGATTCCCACTGCCAGGTATGGCAGGACACATGTCCTGGCTTCTCAGCCAAGTTTATTTATCTGGATGGTCGAGACTGACTCCCATAGTGTCCTGGGATGCATGCAAGCAGTGCCACCGAGCCTGTCCCTGCATTGGCGAGGGGCGTGGAGTGGGTCTCCTCCAGCTGGTCTGTTTCTGTTTTCAGGGCCTTTGACAGCATGGTGACATCTATGATGATCCAGGTCTGCTGAGTGAGAACATTGCTGCCCTCTGGTTGAAGAGAAATGTTTTGTATATAACCATGTTGTGTAGATGTGTATTTATTCTCATTTTCCTCTTCCTGAGTGTCACAGATGCTCCAAATGTGCCAATGGGGGCAAGGCCCGATGCGGCACATGTCAACTAAATGGTTTGTGACATCAGATTTGGCGTTTTTCTTCTGTGTCTCTGGAGCGTTTAACTACAGAGCTTAATGCAGACATTTTCAAGGAGGGGGAGAGGTGAGGGACCAGACAGAGCAGGGCACTGTGGTCCCCATGAGGCACAAGGGGGCAGTGGGAACCGGGTGGTGGGAGTCCACAGAGCTTGGAGCATGGAGAGGCTGAGTCCGCGGGGCAGCAGAGGAGGCTTCAGAGGGATTTGTGGGCTGGCCTCAGCTCCACCGGCTGTTCTTGCAGTGCCCTCCATGGCTGACCAGGTGGCATGGTGTATAGGGTCTCCTGTACCTGTAGCTGGATTTAGAGGGGCACCAGGGCCAGCAAAGTTCTTTTTAAGCTCGAGGCCTGGACTTGGCTCAGCCTTGGGAAGCAGCCCTCACAAGGTCTAGGACCCTTTGTGTACCGGCAGCATCTTGCCTGTGGCTGCTTGCTTTCTGAGCAGAAGAAGCCCTCTTCTGCCTATTAGCGCTTGGGGTTTTTAGTGGCCTGAGGGCTAGACAGGGTTAGGGAATGAGGCACCTGCTGCCCTCCAGCCCATGGGCAAGGTGCCTGGGTGGGGCGGGGCTTACATTTGGGGAGGAACTGATGTAATTGGGTGTCTGTCTGCATCCTGCTTCCCCAGGAGCTTGTTCAGCCAAATCTAGAGGACAGGTCCTAAGAGTTGACTGTGACTGAGGTGTCAGCCCCTTCTGGAGTCAGGCAGCCCAGATTCTAACACCCTTTACAATTTCGTACTGTGCCCCGTGAAGTAGGAGAGGCAACAAGGACCTGCTGAGCCTGCGCTCCACCCGCACAGTCTGCTCTGTGTTGTATTCAGTGCAGCTGGTAGCTGGGGAGAGGGTCTCTGACCAGGAGGAGGGTGTCCCGGGTCCCTCTGGGGAATGGGAAAGGCTACTGGAGCATTAGTGAGCCTGGGGCTGGAACTGGGGGGTGAACTTTTCTCTACACCCCTTTGGGATTCCCTCCTGTCTAACAAGCACAGGAGTAATTTATTAAATTACAGAAGTAAACAAAACAAGTAGGAGTGTGAGTTAAGAACAAGTTCTAGCCCCCCTTCCCCCATTCTCAACTGCAGATGGAATTGGAGGACCTAGAGTAGGGCTGAGAAGCGCCCACAAGTGGGTGCTGGTTGCAGTGCCAGGGGACCCCAGGATGCCCTCACACAGGGTGGGACTCCAGTAGCGATCTCTCCTGTCTGAGTAGTGGCTCTGGTAGGGATTGCACGTTGCTGACCCAACATCTACTCTTCCTTGCTTTCTTTCTAACTTCCTCAGTATTATTGAGGACAGTTGCCTAGACAAAAGGTAATTTCCTACCTTTCATAGTACACAGTATGGGTTGTTATGGCACGTTATGGGTTGTTATGGGTGGTGTTGGGAGGGACTTGCAGGAAAGGTGCTTCAGAGGGGTTCATCTGGCAAATGGAGTCCCCTTCCTCCTTTGTCTTCTCCCTCCTTCCTGCCTAGAACTTGAATCTGATGGCTGGAGACCTGGCAGCCATCTTGACAACACGGTAAGATTTAGCCACTAAGGACAGGGAGCAAAAAGCTCGCAGGAGCTGATTTGGGACACTAGCCCTGGGCTACTTGTGTTCAGCAATTTATGTAAAAAGCAACAAAAACAGACCCTTGTTGAAGCCATTGCTATTTGGGTTTTTCTGTTGGTGCAGCCAGACCACCCCATAAATGCTTTCTACTTAGGGAGTTCCCACACACATTGTCAGGTAGCATTATCATATTAAGCCTGAGGAAATCAAGGGTTAGAAGTAATCTGCTAGTCTTCCTTCTGCCAGCGGAACTGTCAGATGGCAGTTTCACATGATCTTTTTACATCTTTATACAGGAGGTGGCCTCACTGAGGCCCTCCTGCCTGCCTGTCCCCTGTCATCCCCATGGCTGAGCCCCGTGGGTGCGTCTCCTAGTCAGCCCCCGACCTGTTTCAGGTGACCTTTGGCTGAAGTTCCCGCAAGCAGTCAGCAGTCCCTCCTCAGGCGTCAGTGCCTCTCCCTCCTTCCTCTGCCCCTGACCCGATGGGGCAGGGGGAGCATGTGTCAGCTTTCTCCAGGCACAGCCACTCAGGCCTGCTCAGTGGCCCAATGCTCAGCGCCCTTGCCGCTCACATGGTGGTCCCATCCAGGAGTGCTTTCTGGCCCCCCTACACTTCGGCCTGCTCAGGCCTGAGATCCACTGGGAAGGAAGGATTCCCAGGCCCGCTCTCTCCTTGAAGTGGGCACACAGGAGATTAGGAAAGTGCTTCTGAAGAGGAACTAACTACTCAGGGTAGAACACTCAGCAGGACCTTAGCAGAAAAGCCAGTGTGCACAATAAATGTGTCAAGACCCATGAGGACGCCCCCTGCTGAGGCCTAACGTGCTGAGGTAGCAGGAGCAGGTCACCTGCAGGTACTACATAGCCTGCTGCTTGGGGAGCTACGTCTGATGGTGTGCCTCCCCGGCAGCCCCCAGCTGCTCCAGGTCACGACCCTGCACATGAGTTCCACATCCCAGCCCAGCTCTGCCCTGAGCTGCTGGGTGACCTTGGCAAGGCCTCCTGACAGACCTCCTGCCCACCTTTTCACTGGAGTGGGGAGGGGCTTAAAACTGTAGAAATTGACTCTCGCAGCTATGGAGGCCAGAGCCAAACCAGGGTATCAGCAGAGTGGATTCTGTCTCTGGCGGCTAGGAGGGAGCTCCATTCCAGGCTTCTCTCCAGCTTCTGGTGCCTGCCTGTGACCCTTGGGGCTCCATGTGAGACACATCACCTCAACTTCCACCTCCGTCTTCACATCCTTCTCCAAGTGTCTGTCTCAGAGACCCAGTGTGAGCTGTTGGATTTAGGGCCCATCCCCAGATGATCCAAGGTGATCTTATTTCAAGATCATTGAAGACTCACTGTCCAAATAAGATCACATTCATAGGTTATGAAATTTAGGATGTGGACATCTTTTTTCTTGAAAGCCATCACTCCATTACAAGGGACAACGTTGACCCCAGGTCACAAGGGACAAGTGAACCTGACCCAGAGAAGGAAGTTAAAGACACGTGGGTGGAGAGCCAAGAAGCACCAGTGCTAGAGAATGGGAACCAGGGCCAGAGACAAGGACCAACCCATCTGAGGGCTAACTGGGTGGCCCCACCTGTAGATTGAAGCACAAGACATTTCTGTTTGAAGCTTAAGGAATTGATAATCAAATAAGCATAACAAGGCAGAGAGAGATGCTTTTGAAAAGCTCAGAGAGGGCTCCTCGGTAGTTCATGCCAGACCCAAGTGTGTGGGCACTTGGCTCCAAGCTTCCTTTCCCAGCTCAGAATGCAGTCGGGGGAACGGAGAACGTGCTGCATTTTCAGGGAGAAAGCCAGCGTGTCCATATCAAAGAGGACAGTAGTCAGGGTACCCAGGAAGTACAGAAAACTCCCCTCTGCTTCCTGAACAGCTGGTGAGGCCGTACCTGTGCTGGATGCCCGAGGCGAGTGCCCCTCTGCACTCCCTCACGGTGAGGATACACAATGGCCAGTGTCTGGGTCACTCACTGTGGGGGGAGCATGTGTCCTGCAGGCCACCAGACCTGGCTTGAAGGCAGAATTAGCTACTGTGTCCCCTGTAGCATGGGGGTCAGTGGCAACACTGTAAGCCCCAACACTTCCCATTGGCTCTTAGCAGTGAAGTGGGGTGGCGATGGATCTTGGCCTCACAGCCACATCCTACCACTTGCCTTTCTCTGTAGCACATGCACCTGAGAAAGAATGAACTCGTGTCCATGAGAGACGAATAAAGGAGGTCTGTTGTTATGTGCTTTCAAAAATCACTCAAATTTAATAGTTAATGCTTTACCATTAAGACACACGTTTCTATTTTTTCTTAAACGGAAGTAGTTGAGGAGCCGTGAGTGTGACAGCCCCGAGCTGACCCAGCACTGCCTGGGCCTCCCCTGCCCGCAGCCTGCCCGGTGCCCTACAAAGCTCCAAGTCACATTCTCCCCCAGCTCTAACCCTGTACGCGCCGTTAGTGACTTACGGCTTTAGCTGTCAGTCTGGGCCACCATGCGCAGCCCTCGCGGGCCAGGCCGTCTTCCCACCAGGTGGTTTCTTCTGGCCGTGGAGGCAGCTCTCCACTGACCCCTCCTTCCTCCTCTAGCCTCATGCTCTCTCCCCGCTGCTGCTCTCCCGCCAGCCTGCTGTGTGACCCCACAGCACCCCAGACCCAGCCCCCAGAGTCCATGGTCCCCCATGTGGATCAGAAGTGCACAGCTGTGTACTTCTGATCCAGCCACACTCTCAAAATCTGGTCCTTCCTTTAGTACGGTGAGACTCTCCCGTGCCTCCTGTGCAGGAGAGCATGGGAGGTGAGTACCCACCCAGAGCCTTGCCCACCCTGGGCCAACTCCTTCCCACCAGCACTGGCCTCTTCTGCCCTCGCTGTCTGAAGTGGGCCCCGCCCTGGAGGCTGCTGCTGTGGGAGAAGGGTGCCCCCTTGGCGACGGGGTGTCCCCCTGGCACCTGGGTGTCCCTGTAGGCCCCCTCGGTCTGTGGAGCTGACTCCTGGTAAGTAGGCCTTTTTTGGCATTACCTGGAACCAAAAGCTGAGTGGTCCAAGCCCCTGTTCTCACACCCTCCTCTTCAGTGCAGCCCAAATCCTTTCCCCAGTGCAGATCCCAGGAGTAAGGCCATCTCCAGGAAGTCTTCCTGGGTTTCTTTGCTAGAGGCCCGCAGGTGGTGACCCCAGAGCCCACTAGGCCCCCATGGCCTGGGGCCTCCTGAGGCATCAGATCTGAACCTTGTTCTCAACCTCTTCAAGATTCCCACTTAGGCCTAAAGTGTCCAGCCATGGCAGTGGGCACATGATCTGTTCCTGTTGAGCCAACGTCTCCCCCTTTGTGGGTTGGGGTCCAGCTTGGGAGGGGAACCTCCCCAGTGCCACACACAAGCCAAGCCCTTTGACGTCTGGGAGGCTTTCGCCCCAACCCTGCTGCCCAGCAGGTGTGCCCGGAGATGCTGGGAGATTGGAGGAGGGTCAGGCTGGGCCCTTCTGTCAGCCTCCCTAGGCCTGCATTTCTCGGCACCCCAGGGGCGAATGGGTTAATGTAGAGAAGCTCAGAACACAGCCTGCACCCAAGCACCCCCACCTCAAGGTGCCCTGGTGACTCACAGGTTTCACACACCTTGATGACTCGGCCTCGGAAGATGCTTTGGTCCAGCCCCACAGCAGCCTGGGCTGAGCTCTCAGTAGTAAATTCTATATAGGCATAGCTGGGGTGCAACAAGGGCTGGTGAGTGCCAGCTCAGGTCACCCACGCAGGGCAGTGCACTGGGGTGCCTGGCCCCTCCCCAAGGCCCTGTGCTGACCCTTTGGGGTGTCCAGAGAACTTGTTGCATGGGATGCTGACCTGCTGGACCTCCCCACAGAGGTTGAACTAGGCCTCCAGCTCCTCGGCAGTGCTCTCGTAGTCCACCTGGCAGAGGGACGGCCTGGTGGGGGCACTCCTGCCGGGGCCTCCCTCTGCTGGATCTCCTGTAGCGTGTTTTCCCTTAGGGGCGGACTGGAGCCCAGGCTGTGGGGGTAGCGGAGGCCTCTGCCCCTACCCCTGCTGGAGGCGGACTGGAGACCGAGATGAACCAACCCCCACAGCGCGCCAGGTGGTGACACTCCTGATTCGGCCTGTGCAAAGAGTGTATAGCTTTTTAAAGTGGAATTTGTTGCTAATGATTGATCACCTGGGAGATTTCATGTGGAAATGCCGACTCCCAGCTCACTGGGGAATCAGAGCACTTGACAGTGGGGGCCCACAGTCGCTTCCTTGCCACCCCCCAGCCCCAGTCCAGACCTGCCCTCCTGCTTCTCCCTCCCGGGCCTGTGTGCCTCTGAGTGCGCCCCGCACGTGTCCCTTCCTTTAATCCTCACAGCCAGGAGAAGGCAGCAGACCTGTGGTTGTCCCCAAAAAGACCCCATTTCACTCCCCTTCTGCACTCACATTGCCCACGTAGGTGGATCTGGGGTCCACTTCCACCTTCCCCACAGGGGCCTCAGGAGAGCCTGCAGAGAGAGCAGCCTCAGGACAGACTGGGGGTGTGGGCCTCTCTGCAGCTACTAAGGCAGGTACATCATGTTTATGGCTCATTCCTCAATCCTGGGGAGAGAGGTCCTCCTTGGGCCTGTTCTGGAAGGACCTCTGTCACCTGCCAGCCCAACACTCCCTGTGAGCTGGCCTCTTCCCAGCAGCAGTTCACAGTTCACCCTGATATACAGAGCAGAAAGGGGGCTCAGAGCCACACGCCCAAGGACTTGGGGGCCACCCACCCTCCCAGGGGAGGGGTCTGCCTGGCCTGCTAGCTCCTGCCTGTCTCAGGGCCCAACAGCTGTGGAGCCAGCACAGACCCAGCTCCCTCCTCTTTTCCTGCCTGGCCCTTCGCCCTGGGCAGCTCCACCTCCCGGGCTTGCTCCATTGCCCACAGGTTCAGTTTGATGGCCTCCAGCTCCTGCCAGTACATAGCCCCAGGCTGAGCCCCAGCTTCTCTCGAGGGAGGGAAGAGCTGGACAGGTCTGATCCCAGTGATCCTCAGGGTTAGGGACCCATCAGGAACATTCTGAGGGCTCCTCCAAGGGGAATGGGAAGGCCACGAGGACTTGGGGCACAGAGAAGTCCCTGTAATCCTCCCCCAACATAGCAAACTCCCTCCAGAGAGGCTGCCCTGTTGCCTCCAGCCTGTGCAGGGTTGGGCACCCCAAGTATCCTCTCCCAAGCAGGGGACAGCAGCACCCCCACTCCCTTTTTCAAGGCCAGGGACAGCTCTGAGGTCAGAGCTGCAGTAGTTCATGCCCTGCCCCCCCACCTCAGGCCCCTACACAGGGTGCCCGAGGTCTCCCGCCAACCCTCGCCCAATGCTCCGAGCAGCTGTGCTCCATGAGGCTGTTAACCTGGTCAGGTACCAGGTGCTTGGGCAGGTCCTTGGGCAGGTCCTCTCTCTTGAGCAGAAACAGAGGGAAGTCTGAGTCTTCCTCATTGTCCTCTTCTTTCCCAGTTTCCTCTTCCTCCTTCCTGTCTCCACAGTCCGGCTCCAGAGGGGTTTTCTCATTCTGGCTCCAGGCCCCCCAGCCCTGGGCCTCGCGGTCCGACAAAACCCTCTGGAGCCAGGCCTCGGTGGGGGGTGGGAAGAGAGCATGGCTACTGAAAGACCACATGGTGGATGAAGATGAGGGGACGGGCAGGTGGGCCCTCCAATGTTTGCCTCCACACTAGCACCTACAGGTGCCCTCCTTGGATTTTAAGCCTTCCTCCAGGCCAGCTGCTCCCAGTAATCACTCAAAAGGCCACCAGCTGTAGCCAAGCTTCTAGCCCTGGCTTCTGGGCCCAGAGGAGCCATACATAGGCCATGGACCTCTGCCCCTGCCCACTTCTTCCTCACTGGGGCAGGCATCTCCAGGACACTGGAGGAGGAGAGAGGAATATAGCTGAGGTGGAGCCCACGAGGGCCTCCCCTACATCAGCTTAGCCAGGCTTGCTTCGAGGCCTGAGCTAGGGGCAGTGACAGCTCAGGAAGTGACAGCTCTGTTGTGTGGAGGTACCAGTCCACACACCAGTGGTAGGCCACTGTTCAGTTGACACAGATATGAGCAAATGATCTGAGCGTGCAGGAGGAAGAATGGCATATGGATTCAGGGCAGGCTCCTGGAAGAGGCGGCATTTGAGCTAACTTTGATGTTCGGGGTCAGGTAGAGTCAGGGCCAAGGTTGGCTTGGACAGAGGGAACAGCTTGAGCAAAGGCCTGGAGTAGTGATGACAGGGTGGGTTCCCAGGGGTCAGAGGTCTACCTTGGTCCCTTCTCCTGACCCCTCTATCCATTCCCTATGGACCCTTCCTTCCCTACTCTCATTCTGGACTAGCTTCTAGGTGGGAGCTACTTAAATGAAGCCAGAACCCTGCTCAGGCTACAGGGCAAAATGGCTGAATTTAGTGCAGATCGGACAGTGGGTACCGGGCTCCTGAAGGCAATTTGTGAAGCCTGCTTTTCCTCCTCTATGGCTCCTCGCTGGCTGTCCATGGAGGGCAGCTGCAAGGCCGTGTCCCTGTCTGCCCTGGTTGCCTCCACCTGGCCTTGCCTGGCTCGGTCTTGGTGGAGTTCCTGTTGTGGCTTTTCTGTCATCCTGACATTTTTACAGGGGACCCCTCTATCATGTTTGCTCACCCCAAGCCACAGCTGGTAGGTCCAAGTTGGGCCCGTCTCGGGCTGTTCCCTGGGAACTTGTTATTGGGGTGGAGAGTTGCAGGCCACAGTGGAGCTGGACTGTGAGCCAAGAGCCAGGGAGCATTCCTCCCCCAGGGGGTGTGGGGGGGACAAGTCAAGTGTCCTGGAAGTAGGGGCACTTGTGGCTGCTGCCTTAGCCTTGAGTGAGCTTCTCTCTCTTTGCTCCCAAGGAAAGGCAGTCTCCAGGCAGAGTTCAGGGCCTCCAGTTGGCTGTGGTCCTGCATGCACAGGCCTCTCAGCTCAAATGCAGGTCCTCCTCACCTCTCCCCTTCTGTCTCCACACAGCTGTCTGCACTCACATGTGCATGACTCCAGGGGACACTATTGCCCCAGCACTACTGCTTCCAGGGAGCCTCCCTGGTTGTTCCCTCTTCTTGTGGTCACTGCTCTGGGGCCTCACCCTCTGTCTGTCGCATGTAAGTGGCACATCTCCAGGTCTCCTCTGGCAGGCCAGAGTGACTCAAGGGCAGTGTCCACATCTGCACTGAGGACAGGGCCTTCGCCCAAGGCTGGCTGGACGAGGACGGAAGTGCAGCCACCGTCTTTCTCCCTCACACGAGGCAGTTGGTGCTTGCCCTCCTGTGGGTCTGGGGCCCCACGCAGGGCCTCTGGTCAGGGCCCTTTCCTCTACCTCCTCATGGGAGGTGGGCCACCATGGAGGTGTTTCCAGGTGAGAGCTGCTGGACTCAGGCCCTGTCTCTGCCAGCCTCCCTCTGAGCTCAGACCTCTGCAATGGAAAAACGTGGTCATCTTGCTGTATGCTGAGATTGCTAGCACACTGGGCCCAGCTGGGGCTCCTGCCAGCTGCCTGGCGTGTGGACAGCCTCGCCCCCACATTGGCCTTTGCAATGACGCCTTTCAAAATACACTATGTTCCAAGCCCGGGTCTGTGTATTAATAACACCCCACCTCCAGGGACTGCCCATGAAGCACTGGGTACTGAGTACTGGGCACCTTACCCTGGATGGGACCTGTCCTAGGAACTGGGACTGCATGGCTGACACCTTGGCTCCTTGGGGGTCAGAGTGTCCCTTCTCTTGGTGTCTACCTTCAGGGTCTTGTGGGAAGTGCCCAGCACTGCCACTGGCAGTGGGACTCGGGGTCATGAAGTCATGGGTGTCATCTGGGGTCTAAGGTTGTCTAGGTCACTTTGAGAACACAACACTGGGAAGTGTACCATATGAGAGACTGTGGGTGATGGAGCAGGGGTCCCTGCTCATGTCCCATTCACACTCCAACTTATGTCATATGGTTGTTCACCCACCTGAGGCAGGCTTTTGTGTTTCTTGCCTGGAACTGAGAAAGCTCCCAACACATGTTTAGTGAATGTATGTGTGAAATGGGGCTTAGCCAGAGTCACTTGGAACGCAAGGAGAGGCAGGGCCAGGATGGCAAATGTTGGGCTTTATTTCACAACACAGAGGTAAGTGACGTGACCTGAACTGTAACATCGTACAGCGTCTGGGTCAAACAGAGTACATCAGAGGACACGCAGTAGGGATGGCATGCCACAGGTCCTGCACAGCGCGAGGGAAACCTGTCACAGGAAAACGGCCCAACACTCACTGTCCAATTCCTTTTGGGTTATTAAAAAAAAAAAAAAAAAAAAACAAGAAGAGGAAGAGGAAAGAGGAAGTGGAAAACCAATGTGTTCCCCAACAGGTTGTGTGAGGCTGTGCCCTGGCCCTGTTCCCATGGCCCGAACCCCGTGGCCCGTGAAGGACACAGTGGGCGAGCTGACGGCTGGCCTGGCTGAGCCCCGCGTCCAGGCTGGGAGCGAGGGCACCCGATGCCTTCATTCTAATACTTAAAAACCAGGCTCCACCAGGAGTCCTAGCACTGTATTCCTGCTACAAGGGGCATTTGTGGTGGCGCTCAAAGGCCAGCTGAATTGAAACAGGAGGAATGGAAGCATGCAAGATGGTGTGTTCTGGAACTTTGGGGTACCAGGACAGGCGCTGTCACAGACACCCAGCTCCCTCAGGCCTTATCTGTGAGGTGTCCAGGGGGTGGACATGCACCCCCCCTGTTTTCCTTTTCTCCTTCCCCTCCTGCCAGCGAAGGTGTGATCCAGGACCTTGGTCCTGGCACCCCCCCCCTTTTTTGGAAAATGCCCTGTGTGGCAGCCTGAGGGCCTGTGGAAACAGGCTGCTGGGGAGAGCTGGGCAGGGGGCCCCTACTGGGCCTCTTGGTTCCCAGGAATACCTATCACCACCCGCCAAATTCAGCAGGGCTGAAGAGTGAATCATCTGCATCATCCCGAGCTCTGAAGAGTGAATTCCCATCTGCCCAGGACCCCAGGACGGAAGATGGGAGAAGGAGTGGGGCAGTGTGACCGTGAGCACCAGGAAGAAGAGGGCCTCCAGGAGCTGGTGTCTGGGGGGAGGCCAGCATTGGGTTTTTTTCTTTCCTTTCCCATCCTTTCCTGGGGACACTTCCTTGGGTGCAGTGACCCCTGGAGGCAAGGAGAGGACAGGCAGCCCCACCCCACAATGTTGGGGTTTTGTCAGGGAATGTGGTCACCCTGACTGGTGGCTCTGGCCACAGGGTTCCTGAGCAGGTAGGTGTATGGGCTACCTCTCAACCCACACTCCTGGCTCATGACAGGTGCTGACTAGCCAGAGCTATTGCTAGGAGTTCGGTCCAGTCTGCCCATAATGCTTGCAACAGAAGCTTGCCCATTTCTGGAGCAGGACTGGAACAATTGGGGCACTCGGAGGGGGAGGCTGTGCCCACAGGCGGGTTCCTTTAGGGCAGCCAAGGTCATGGGAGGGTCCAAAGCACCCTGGAAACTTTGGAATACAGAGGGGGTTCGTGGTGCTGCTGGGTTCAGTGCATGCAGAGGTGGGTGGGTGGATGGACCAAGGCATGGTTGTGTGGGTTGGATTAGAGGATGGATGAACAGACCCACACATGGTGTGTATAAGGGTGAATGGTGGAAAGGCAGGGGGTTAAGTCAAAGGATGAATGGAGGAGGAGGGATCAAGTGACAGCTGGGATAGAGTAATGGATGGATAGAATGATGGATGGATGAGTAGATGGGTGGATAAATGGGGAAGGAGTGGTCAGGTGGCAGATGGGAGGTCAGAAGAGTGGAAGGGTGAGTAAGTGGGTGGATGGGTGGGTGGGTTAATGGGTGGCCATAAAGGTGACTGGATTGGTCAGAAGGATGAACTGAGGAAAGAAAAGAATCAATAAATCATTGTACATGGCCTGAGGGAGTGGGCAGCATGATGGCTGGACTTGTTGCTGGAGTGAGCTGGGATAGGCAAGATGCGTGGATGACAGAGACAAGGCTTTGGTGTCATTTTGAGAATATATTTGGAAAAAATTGGCAAACAGGCGAACGTTAGGGCCTGAGCTGATCTCTCTCCACCATGTCGTTGGGCTGAAACCGAAACCAGCACTGCCCCGCCCCTTTCCTGTCCATCTCCCTCTGCTGTTGAACCCAATGAGTAACCCCATTTGCTGAGCCCACAGGGCGGCCCCCTCGTGGGAGGCAGGCTTCTCTTGTCCTAGAGCCCAGACCCTCCAGGACCCCTCAGATTTTCCCCAGCTTTCCTCTCTGCCCCTGGTGACACCCAAGCCTTCCCATGTCTTGGTGGACCATGGGAACAGGAGCCCTCTCCATCCTGATGAGGTCTGGGGTACGCCAGCCTGTCCATGCCTGGAACGGGAGGCACTGGTCTCCGCAAACGAAATACCCCCCAGACAGCACCCTGGGATGGTGACACACCCTAAGAGAAAGACCAGCCTGCATCTAGGGCGGGACAGAAAATAAAGAGATGGTGAGAGGAGGGGATGGGAAAGGTTAAGGGTCACACACCAGGGTGCTGTCCCCCACCTGTGGGCTGAGGGCTCTGGCTGCTGCCTTCCTGTCATAGTTTTGGCCCCAGAACAGGAGAGGTAAAGCTGCCATTTTGGTTTGATTTGTGGGGAAGGTGGCTTCCAGCAGCCGCATCTCACAGAGCTTTTGGGTTGCTTGCACGTTGGCTCTTGGTGGTTACTTTTGGGCAGGAGGCCCTTGCACACCGCACCCCTGGTCAGTGGTCTATAAACTTGGGAGGTACCAGGTCCAGATGGCCTGGCCTCTGACAGAGCAGGAGGCTACATCCCTTCTTTGTAGAAGAAAGGCAGGTACTCCGGTTGCAGGCACAGGTGCTGTGTGGACACTCATCATCAGCGTCACTAGTCCTCCCCTCAGAGCTACTAATTCCATGTTTGGTTAAGAGGTCTTTGGCCAAATGGGGCCCGAGCACCGTGACCAACAAACACCAGCTCCCTTAACATGGACAGGGAGCTCCAGTGCCTCCCTCAGACGTCCCCGGGACTGGAGAAGCTGCCTTCATCAGGTCATCCTCCTGCTGTCCACTCCGGGCCTGGCTTCTTTCCTGCCAGCCCCACCCCACTTTGCTGCCATCCTGTTCCTGAGGATGCTGTCAGCTGGCAGGGGCTCTGTCTGTGGGCCTGTGGTCAGCCCCTCATGCTAGGCTTCTGCAGCCCCACAAGGGGGTGCTTCTGGGTATATGGGTTCTGGATGTGAGAACCATACCAGGTAGTCTTTCATGCTGGCTTGAGGGCACCCTCTTCCCAATAGCTGGGGTGGGAGGGGCTGCCCCGCCTCAGGGCCTCAGCCCATAGTCCTGCCCTGGAGGTTGGTCTGGCCCTGGACATTGCCAGCTGGTGAACATGCTAGTGTCCTTGGCATACCTGCTTGTCCCCAAAGGGGGACCATGCAAGGGGGAGGGAAACAGAGGCCTGCCCAGGTGAGGGGCTCCTCCATGACTTGCCTTAGACCAGTAGCCTCACCCCTGACTCCACACAGCAGGGATGTGAGTGATTAGGAGTCTTAGCCCTCCTCCCCCAAGGCCCCCAGCATAACCAGGGCACACACTCTCTAGACATCCAGTTTACTGGCACAACCTTGTGGGAACAGAGTCCAAAGCGCCCACCTCCAAGGAGGCAAACCCATTTCACTGCACACCCAAAGCCGCCACGGTTTTAATGGGTTCAACACTTACACGAGAGAAAGACAGCAGGCTGGGAACACGACAGGCAGGCCTCCACAGTCTTGAGAACACAAACCCCAAACTGATCCTTGCTTTTCTGAAATCCACAAAAGCAAACCTCTGAGAGGCTGATGGGCCCATGCTCCAGGCAACAGAGATGGTGGCTGGGACAGGGAACTTTCTGGAGGATAAGATAGATCTATCTCAGAGTTAGGTCTATTTCAGAGTTGGGTTTTCACTGTCAGGTGTGGTGTGGGATGGCACCTGGTCAGTGGAGCCAGATAGGATCTTTCTTTTCCAGACTCACAGAGTGAATTCCTACAACTCTGTAAACAATGGCGGGAACCACACAAACCCATTGCTCCCCGTGGGACTGCAGTTCAGGTTTCTCTGAGAGTCGGTTTCCTACACTTTACATACTTCTGCAGTTTCTCTGAAATTTTTTTTATTTGGCAAACATCTCTTCTTTATTATCATCATGAGTATCATTATTTGGACCTCTGCAAGGACTATATACATTCACATTAACGTACACTATCAACTTCTTGCCTCTTGGTGGGGCCCCGCAGGAGCCCCGGTTTCAGTAGCTGGTCACTCTCCATATTGCACTCCAGTCCTGGGAACTTCTCGCAGCAATGCAAGGAAACACCAGATTGAGGACCATGCTGCTGCCTGTCCTCCCATTGAGGACACATGAGAATTTCCTTACTCCTTTATTTCCTCCTTGAGATTGCTGGGGGACTTGTGTTGGGTAGGGGGACAGGGATCGAGTGAGGGGACATTCCCCCTGAGGATCAGCTGGACAGAGAGTGAGGTTATACACAGCTGACTAAGTCTTCAGAAGGTGTGGAGAGGGCGGATTGTTGTTTGTAGTTTTTTTCTTTTTCTGCAAAAGTGTGAAGAAAGAAGAGTAGGTTCAGGGGACATTGGGGGTGGGTGGCGTTGGGGGCAGAGATGAGGTGGGTGGGCAGCATGGAGGAGGGAGAAGAGGTAGAGGAGAAAGCATTGAGAAGCAGTTGTTACAGGTGCAGTCATTGCCTCCTTGTACTTTGAAAAGCACTCAAGAATCAACCCGAAAGATTGTCCCAGTTTTGTTTCTGAATTATGCTTTCTCTGGGAAGGACACGTTAGCACTTTTTTTCACAAGTGGAAGAAATGAAATGGGATGGAAATTCACAGAGGGCGTGAGGACAGACAGAGGCATCTTCCCCGCCCATTCGCCCGACTGGGCGAAGTGGGTGGGGCGCTGAGGGCCGCAAGGCCCACCACCCTGAGCCCAGAAAGGTGCTGCTGTCTAGTTGAAAAGAAACAAAAGTTGCTTCTTGTTGGGCAAACCCTCCAAACCTCAATATCCCAAACTCTAAAAACAGAATTGAAAGAAAAGACCAACATCTGAACAAATCCAAGAGTGGAGTAAAACAGTGAAAAAATCCTTTGGCAGTTGAGAAACAAATTTTGGGCTTTGACTTCTCCTGTTTGCTTTTTGGGTTTCCTTTGGAGCAGAGGTGTGTGCGGCATCCTTGGCTGGCTAGCTGGCAAGGTAGTTTACAGTATGCTTCCTTTACTTTTTAAAAAATTTTTTTGGATTTCTACTTAAAGCCAAAGAGTTTGATATTAAAGGAAAAAAAAAAAAAACCTGAAACCAAAAATGCTTGGGTCAGAAAATGAAGTCTTTTTCACTGTGTTCACCGAATCGGCCACATACCCCTGGGGTAGTTTCGGTGACGCAGAGGCTCCGATCTCTGGCTATAAAACAACAGTTTTCTTTTTTCCTTTTTAATCAGGAAGGGGAAAACCCCCAAAGTTTCCTTTGTTCATTTCTGAGTAGCTCTTTTGCCATAAATCCCCCAAAATTTTTCACTGAAAATATAAGCCCCCAAATAATTAGTTTTTTTTTTTCATTAAAGAGAGAGTGTGTGAAAGTCGTAAAGATAAGAATAAGAGAGAGGGGGGAGGAGAGAAAGAGGGGAGGAAGGGCAGTGGACAAGCCGGTGGTGCTCCAGCTGGTGTCCACTCTGCTCCGCTGTCTAAAGCTCAGTGGGAGGTTCCGAGGGTGCTGGAAGAGGTTGTTGCGTGAGATCATCAGGTAGCTGAGGAAGTTGCATTGAATGCAATTTTTGTTGGTTCTGTGTTTTCTTTTGGAGAGAAGCAGTAGCAGCAGTGACTCCAATGGTCGGGCTCCCAGGACCCGGCGAAGCATCCGGCAACCAGGGCCAGGCAGGGTTGGTGGGCACATGTCTGTGGGCCGAGCAGCAGGTCTGGGAGGAGTCAGCGGGGTGCGGCGTCCAGTGGGCCGGGGGAGCCCGGGCGAGATGGCCCCGTGGAGCCAGCTTCGCTGGGGCTGGCAGCACCCGTGGGAAGGCAGGAGCCCAGGCTGATGGTGGCATCTGCCTGTCCTGGCACCGGGTCAGCCACCACCGCTGAGGGGCCCTGCAGGCTCTGGCCGCATACGTGGTGGTGCTTCTCCCAGTCCTTGTGCTGGCAGAAGGAGCCGCAGTAGCGTGCTGCATTGCAGCCACTGCAGGTCTCACTGGCCTTGCGTCCACAGTTCCAGCAGCTCTGGATTGGGGGAAGGAGATGGTTGGGGTAAGCCAGGACTGGGCCCCTCCACATCCCCAGAGAACTCAGCCTGGCTGCAGAATGGGGAAATATACCCTCTAAACAAACCGGCTTAGACCCAGCCAGGGTGTCAAGTGAGACAAAAAGACCCCAAAGTGCTACAGCCTGTGTTGACCATTGGTGGACACAGCCCCTTGGCTGGGGCATTTTGGGGGAGTGGGCTCACACTGCTATGTTGCACAACTCCAGCCATGTGAGTGGAAGGTGGGTGGGGACACTGTTGAAAGCCCCTGGTCATGAGACAGGAAGTCCAAACCTGCCCTGGAGAGGGGCCCAGGTGCCTCTCAGACTCCAACACCTCCTACTGTCCCCAGGTCATTCTGCTCAGCCACATTGGTCTCCTGCAATACTCACGGGGCCAGCTTGCCCAGCCCCCACCAGGCCTTGGTCCCTGCTGCCCCCTCCTGAGATGGCACTCTTCCCTGACCCCTGCATGCTGGCCCACTTCCTCCAGGAGTGCTCAGGTATCACTGCTATTAGTCCTGCCTGACACCCCACCCTTTTCCCTACGCAGCTCCAGCCTGAAATGCTCTAGGCCTCACGTCCAAATACCAGCATGACAACAATCTCAAACTTTCCTGCATGTGCACTGTGTCAGGAGCTGAGGAGGTGCTTTAGATGCCACCTGGGGTCTTTACACCCTCCTCTTGCCCCCTGCTTTCGCAGGTTAGAGAGAGCATGCGCTTTGGTGTCTGCAAGCCTGGATGCAAATAAGGGCTCTGCCACTTCCTAGGCTGACCTTAGGCAAGTTACCGTCCCCCCACCCCCGGAGCCCTCAGTTTCCATCTGTACAATGGGGACACCCACAGGACCCACTTAACCAGGCTATGGGGCCCTGAGAGCTCACAGGGCCACCCAGGAGGCAGAGCAGCCCTGGACCTGGACTCAGGCTGTGGAGTTGGTCCCTACCTCACTGGAGTCCTCCTGCTGATTGACAACAGTGAGGGCATCCTCCGAGGCCTGCCGCCTGGCCTCTGCCAGGGCCCGCTCCATCTTGGCGCGTTCCGTGCTGATAAGCTCGTGAGCCTTCCGCTCGGCGTCTGACACAGCTTTCTGCAGCTCAGACATCGCTTGCCGCTTCACCTCATTCACTGCCTCCTCTGCAAAAGCATATGTGCCCATGGTCACATGGGCCAGCCTACCCAGGTCTCCAGGGCCTTCTACCCATAACCCTGGGGGTGGGGCTTGTGCACAAAGAAACTTTTCCATAGGGTGTGCGAACATCATCATGGGGCAAATCTCCAAGCTTATCCTCTCCTGCAGTGTGCTCAAACTCCTGCGTGCAACGGCAGATTTGAGGCAGGACGCCTGGGAGGGCCCTAAAATCTGCATTTCTAACAAGTTCCAAGTGCTGCTGCTGCTGCTGCTGCTGCTGCCACCGCTGGTCTCAGCACCCACTCTGGGGGCCACAGCTGTATTGTTCTGCCCTGTGGATAGTCTGCCTTGCCCTGCCACCCATTGGCAACAGCCCAGAGGATGCCCATTCAGGGCTATCCACTGTAATTTCCCCCCAAAGCCCTCTGCTATCTTCCCCGCACTTGCCACTGCTGCCTGTTCATGACTGAGGACCCAGCGCCCTGTTCTGGCAGCGGTCAGACAGCCTGCTCAGATTGCACCCTGCCCTCTGACCTGGGAACTACGTGGCCCCACCCACTACTAAACCACCCCCATGGCCTTTCTGGCCTGTCTCAGCTTCCCTGGCAGCACTGCTTTGCAGCGTGCTGTGTGAGATGCTGGGGTGGGACCAAGCAGGGCCCCCATCTAAGGGGGAAAGATGGCCTGTAGGCCTCCCATCTGAGTGTTTGCACACTGTGTGCTGAGCTGCTGGCAGTGCCATCTGTAGCCACCTGCCCCCATGTCACCACCCAAGCTCCTCATGGTTGTCATCAAGAGTCCCATGAGGCCCTGCTGTGGGCCAGATGGATGTGAAGGGAAGAGGCCAAGGGAAATGAGGACTCCTGTCTTCCTGTCCAGGTCTGCTCCCTGCCTCGATCTGGGCAGCTGCTGCCTGTCTGGTCTGGCCCCTCAGCCTCTAACTCTGAGCGAGGACCCTGGCTTTCTGGGCCAGGTGCTCTGGCTTTCGAGATCCTGAGATTGTCTACCTCTAAGTCACACTTCACACTGAATCCACCCACAAATCAAAACATATCTGGGATCCCGCCTCTTCTCTGCACTGCCACCGCTCCTGAGCACCGGCCTGGCGCTTGTTGCCCGTGGGCTCTAGCTTCTGCTCAGCCCCTCCTCCAAGTCTGTTCCCACAATGCAGTGAATGACCCCACGGCCCTCCCCTGCCGCCTCACTCAACTATGCCCAGAAGGTCCACAGATTCCAGCTCTAATATGTGCAGTATCTTGCACACTTGTGTGTGTGTTGGACTTGAGCCCCTGCTTGTTTTACTGAGTGTGCTGTTGTTCCCTGGCAGGTGTTGGGTGGCAGTCATACTAAGTGCACTGTGACCCCTCTGTGAGCCCCACCTGTGAAGCCCTATGAACTCCGCCCTGAGCTGGGTGCCCAGCTGAGCCACCCCCCACCCCAGACAGAAGGAAGTTCCTTACAGTCAGAGAGGGCAAGGGGTTCTGGGCTTGCACCCCTCGCCCCTCATCTCCACTCACCAGCCTTCCTCCAGATCTCCTCAGGCATGTAACTGGAGAGGGTCCTGGGCATGAACTCCCGGCGTACGTCTGAAACACAGGGGTGGCATCACACACAGGATGGGGTCACAGGGCCACGGTGTGAGTGTGTGCTCGGCAGCTGTCCCGGGTGCCCATGGGTGGAAAGGCTGTATCAGTTGCTAGGGTGTGGGCAGGGCAGTGTCCAGAAAGGAGGTGCTTTGGAAGGATGGACCTCAGATTTGACTGGGAGCCTCTCTTGGTTTCCATGATCACCATCCAGGGGATGTGTGGAGACCTGCAGGCCACCGGAGCTCTGAGTCTGGGCTTCCTAGTAGGTCAGCAGCATCTTTTTGCAGAGCAAACGAGGTGCCCCTTTTTCAAGTGAGACTGCTTTGGGTGATGTTTTATGCAGAGCCTGTATGAGGGCCCTGCTGGCCTCAGCCCTGGACACCCCCTTCATGTACCATGCAGGGTCCCCTGCACCACCATGCCACTCTCTGTTTTACTCCATCTGCTCCCTCTGCCCCCTCTCCCCACCACCATGCACCTAGCTGAGACCCCTCCGCTGTTGCCGAGCTGCCGAGAGGCCGGGCGGTGGTGGTCGTGGGGCCCTTCTTGTTGTCCTCGGTATCGCTGTAGCGTCGGACCCAGTGGTTGAGCTCCTCGCGGTCAGCCTCCTGGCACCGGCGCAGCACCGTGAGTGACCGCCGTGTCTTCTCGGCCATGTCCATGATGCAGTTTAGGAGCTGCGGAGAGTGGTCGGGTCACCTAAGCACACAGGGACCTTTTCCCACACTGTTAGGCCTTGGCCAGCCCCACTGCACGGAAAGACCCCTGAACGGCTGGGGCAGGGCTGGAGACAGCCCACTGCTCCCTCCCCAGAGAGAACCAGACCTGGGGGAGGCTTAATTGAATGCAGGGGGCTTTGGGCTCTGCTTGCCAAGCTCAAGGTATGGTCTGCCCCATGAACCAGAGCAAAAAAGTTACCCCTTTACCTCCCTGGGGACCATATCTTCTGCCTAGGCTTTTCCCCTAAAAAGAAGCAGGGGCAATGATAAACCTGGAAATGAGGTTGGAGGTGCCCCACCCCCCATGCCAAGTGACCTTCTCCTGGGAGACTCTCTGTTGGAGCAGAGAAGGGAAGGTTCTGAGGGGTTAATGGCAGTCCAGGATGGGCCAAGATGGGTGCTCCCTGCTTCCATGGTCCCAGACCCGCCCTCCCCAAGGCCTTGCCCCTGCTCCCCAAGGCCCCACTGTGTGCTTCCTAGCTGGGCACAGAGTAAGAGGGAGCCCACTTGAGCTCCATCCCCAACTTTACAAGTTGGGCAAAGCCCCTGGAGTAGCTGTGGCACCCATGCCTGGGCCTGGACACTTACATTGTTGAGATGCTTCCACTCCTCAGCCCATTCACGCTCTGTGAGCCTGTGGTCGATCACTTCCTCTGGCCGTGACCCGTGGACCACTGCAGGAAGGGAGTGGATGCTCAGGTCCCACCCCATGCTCCCAGGCCCCACCCCACACTCATCCAAGCCCCACCCTGTGCTCCCTAGGTTCCTTCCTATGCTGTGTCCCCTTGAGTAAGATAGAGAGGATGAAGAAGTGGATGCCAGGCACTGGGCCTTTGCCCATTGCACCGAGGGGGTCAGAAATAGGCCTGGCCTCTACTCAGGGCTTGGGAGGAAAAGACCTGAGTCCCCCATCCCTTGCTCTGGCTTTGGCCACCCTTCTGCTATCTCCCTGCCTCCAAATCCCACTGTTCTCACACTTTCTGTCCCCTACTGCCAGCCAAGGCTGCCTCAGACCTCACTTCCAGGCCTCCATGTGATGACTGTTTGGCTCCAGCCCAAGGTTTACCACTTCCTCTCAGCCAGCTGGACTCCTATGCATCCATCAAAACCCAGGTCACAGGACCCTCTTCCTCAGTACCCCTGGGCCTTCAGAACTCCGTAAGTCCCATGTATCTCTGGTTCCTTAGTAATTATAGGTACTTCCTTGTTCAGTCTCAATCCTCCCTCCTGACTCCCAATAGGCTGCGTCAGTCCATAGGGCAGAGCTGGTGAGTCCCATTCTGTGTCCCCTCGGCTGAGCTGTGGCCCGGCAAGTGTGCCAGCTTATTTGTTGGGTCTCAAGTAAACTGGTTCAACTGTGGTCTCTTGGGAGACAGGAGGCCAGGAAGCTAGTAGTCCTGATGACCATTCCCCATGGGTCCTGGGACCATCATTTAGCCTTTTTGGGCCTTAGTTCCCCTACCTTGCCTCTCTCTCGAGGAGAGATGGTAAGAAGAGTTTTAGGACACTTGTTGGTGGGGAGAGCCCAGGTATAAGCAGGCTCTGTGAAAAGTGCTTTACATCTTTTATCCCTGCACAGACCTCAAAGGGGGCTCTGCTGTCTTGCAATTCATAGACGGGAGACCTGAGACTGCTTAAGGGGATCTGTTTGCCCAAGGTCACGCTGAGCAGAGGCTATGCCTTTAGCTGCTGGCTGGTATGGCTCCAGGGACTAAACAATGGTGTGCCCTTCCCCGAGTAAGAAACAAAACTGCTGTGAGCTGTGAAGCAGATGCCAAGGCAGCAGCATCTGAGTGTCCCCACCGTGGCCCCCACCTTATGGTTTTGGACCTACTGAGTGCTCTTACCCTCACTGTTTTAGGTGCCCCTGCCTGTCTTGGGTGATGAAATACCATGGGTGCTTTGGGGCTAAGGTCCATTTAGGCCTTCTTCTTCTCGTTAGGGTTTTCTGGCCCCACAAACTCAAATTGCCTCCCCAAATTACAGAAGGGGTACGAGGTGGCAGCCACAATCTGCTCTCCACAGCCCTGCCCTGTTGCTCCCAGAGCCAGGGGCTTCACCAATGCCCTGACCAAAATAGTGGTTGAGATCTGCCGGACAGCTGGCGTCTATTTTTGCATTAGCAGGAGCGGGTGGGAATAGCACCTGCCTGACTCAGCCACAGGGAGCCAGACACTGTCACCTGCTGCCTAGGCAGGGGCCCTAGGAGCTCACACAGGGTTGGGGTGAGGAGACAGCCTGCACGGAGTGAGGTCTCTGCTGACCCTGCTTCTTGGTCCTTCACTGGGGCCCTGGGTCTCTGTCTGTTTCTAGGCTGCTCTCCCAATACACCGGGGAGACCCTAGGATGGAGGCTGGTCCTGTTCATCTCTTTGTCCCCAGCAGATGGTCAATGGTCAGATAGATGTGGCTAGAAGACTTTGGGCATGTCGATTACACTCTCTGGGCTTCAGCCTCCTCGTCTGTGATGTGGGCGTGCTAACAAATCACACATGTACCAGAAGGCATCACGGCCCACTTTAACAACTGAGTAAAGAGTAATAATGCAAGCAGGAGGTGAGTGCTTCGCCCCAGACTTGTTGCCACTGTTAGCGATGACAGCTGGGCCTCACAGCACCCACTCCGCGCCAGGTTAACTCCCTTGGTCCTTACATGACCTTGAGGGCTGAGACTCCTGTTAGAACCAGCCAAACAGGCACAGAGGTCACGTGACCAGCCCAAGGGCAGACCACTGGGAATCACTGGAGCTCAGAGGACAAGGCAGTCCTGAGCCCTCGCTCCCACCACGAGAGCCCTGCTCCACCCAGTCCCTGGGGCTCCCCCATCACCTTCCTCCACATGGCTCATCCAGTGACCACACTCTCACGAATCTGGCATTTCTGTGTTCATTCTCATCCCTCTCCAGGAGCAGGATGGGCATGTGCGGTAGGTCGGTGGGGCTCAGTGAGGGCTCATGAGTCTAGGGGATGTCCTCTTTCTCTTAGAGGGCCCAGCCATGTGTTGGGGACAGGGGCTGCAGCTTCTGTGACGTGGGGACCTCACATGCTAGAACTGTCCACAAACGGTCTCCTCCTAGCTGACCTGTGTATCCCACCTGTGAAATGTGACTTGTAGGAAATATTTGGTCATTCAGATGACTGAAACATATCTCTCGCACATGGTTTTCATCCAGGGTTCCTGGCTTACTGTTCCCCAAACCCTTGAAATTTCCTAAGCATAAAGAGTGAAAATGGTATCTTGGGTTAATGGTAATGAGGTGACTTTGGAACAGGATGAAGTCTGGTTGCTCAGAGAACCAACCATGTGAATGGACGGTTCGACTTTCATTCCCACCCATGACCTCCAGGGTAGGGAGAGGGACTGGAGGGTGAATCAATTGCAGTGGCCAGTGATTCAATCCACCCTGCCTACGTAATGCAGCCTCCACAAAACCTCACAGGAAGGTTCGGAGAGAGCTTCTGGGTTGATGAACACGGAGATTTTGAGAGAGCGATATGCTCAGAGAGGACGTGGAACTTCCTCGCTCTTTCCCCACGCCTTGCCCTGTGCTAAGTAAATGTTTCTCTGAGTTCTGCGAGCCATTCTAGCAAATTAATTGACTCCAAGGTGGAGGTTGTAGGAACCTCTGGTTTACGGTCGGTTGGTCAGAAGCACAGGTGACAGCCCGGACTTGTGGCCGGCATTCGAAGGGGGTCGGCGGTCTTGTAGGACTGGAACTTCTGGTACCTAATGCTGTCTCCAGGTAGATGTCAGAACAGTTTACTCGTAGGACACTGTGCTGGTGTCCAAGAATTGCTGGGTGTTGTGTGGGAAGTAGCCCCCAACATGGGCGTTGGGCCCCGCAACCTCATGTGCTGCCCTCCCTCTGCCCCAGCTGCAGGCCTGGCAGCCTCCCTTTTCCTGACTCTGTGAAGGAGATGAACACAGATGAGCAGGGCCAAGGGCAACTGAAGGTCGTGTGCCCAGCCGATGGCCAGAGCCCCTCAGATGGAGTGGTCCTAGGTCCCCCAGGCCCAATACCCATCTGTACCTGCTTCAGTCCGGCTGGGGCCCCAGGACAGGTGACATCCACAACTATGCCCCTGGGGAGTGAAGGGACCTCTTGGGACCTGAGGGGGAGGATGCTGAGCTTCCCCTGAGGGGCGTCTGGGAAAGGTGGCCCTCCTTCGGAGGCTCCCGGGCATGGCCCAGCCAGGGCGGGGATGCCCTCTGGGCCCTGGGGCCAGTTCCCCACTCAAATCCTTTCTCTATCCCCATTTCCCGAGTCCTTCCTGGACGGACATGTGCACACAGTGGCTCTTGAACGACCCCTCCCCCACACAGGTGCACGTGTGCCACCCCGCCCCCAGAGCACTGCTCACTGAGTTGCCGATGGCGTTCCCGAAGCTCCCGGGGGTCAGGGTGGCGGTAGGGGTCTCGGGAGTGGTGGGCCAAGGCCATGTCCTCGAGGCGGTAGTGTGGCGGCGTGGGGTGGGGCAGCCCATTGCTGGGGCTGTAGCGCTGGGCGGGGCTCAGGGTGCACGGCCGTTTGCTGAGGGGGTCAGGGTGCATCGGGTCGCGGTCTGACCCATTCTCTTTGGTCCTGGCCCAGAGAGTGGGCAGGAGGCCAGTGGTCACGGAACCAGGAGCCGTGGATAGAGGTCCAAGCAGGAGGGGTGAGGGGGAGACAGAGGTGGTGGGTAGAGAAAGAGCGAGGGGGAGACAGAGACAGAGAGAGATTAGACCAGTCCATGTGGACCCAGCCTTGATTCCCGTCCCTGGTGTGCAGGCTCCAGGCCCAGTGGTCACGAAGCCTGAGCCTCCATGGAGAGAATGAAGAGAGGGAGACACCCTCTCCTGGCAGCAGGACAAGAACCCATCTCTGAGCCCGTAGTGAGGGCCAGCCCATGTGCCTGCAGACCTCAGGCTCCTAGACGCTTGGGGTCCACATCCAGCACAAAGGGAATGGCCACAGAAGTTTCTCTGGACCAACTCCCCTCCTGCTTACTCCCTTGTCCACCCAGGGGAACATCTGAGTCCTCAGGAGGCCTCACCACAGCCTGACAGAGCAGCCTCACAGAAATTCAGCCCGTGCAGGTGACCTTGCAGGAAAGGTTGAACTTTACCAGCCTGCTCACTCACTGTGGGCAATGGCATTGACCCAAATTCCCTCAGCACTGGAACTAGGATGCCTGCGGAGCTTCGGTACCAGAGTCGAGTCTGGTCTCTCCACTGGCTCCCTCCCCAGCCACAGAAAGCCCCCAAGATACCTGTCAGGTGTCCTCCTCTTGCCATTCTCATTGACTTCGAGCAGGAGCTCCGAGGAATCAATGGGGGAAGAGGCATTGGCATCCAGCAGGAGTTGCTCGTGCTGGGCCAGATACTGGGCAGGGGTCTGCTTGGCCAGGCGGGCACAGTGCAGGAGTTCTCGCTGTAGCAGGGGCAGATTTGCCTGTGGTGGGGAGAAGGGGTTTGGACTTGCTGCTCACGGAGGTCAGGGTACAAGGGTGCACAGCCTTCTTCTGATACCGGGCAGGGAGGTCCAGCCTTGCTGTGTGACATTGGGCAAGTTGCACGACCTCTCTGGGTATCGAGTTTCTCCACTACAACTTAGGTATGAGGGCAGGAAGGATGGCTAGGCAGGACTGTGCCTCCCCACAGGGCACACAGTGACTTGGGTGCTAGGGGACCTGCGCCCAGATCCTGCTCTCCCAGGCTGGGGCTTTTCCACGTCACCAATCTCCCTTCCATATGGCACCTGGAGAAGGCAAGGAGGGGTTCGCAATAATGATTTCTTACCTGTGCCTTGTGGAAGCAGGCACCACATTACCCACTGTTTGGAGAAGGAAACTAGGGCTCTGAGAGGGTCAGTGGACAGCCCTGCACACAGCTGACTGCAGAGGGAGGTGCCGGGAGTAGGACTCCAGCACACCTGCTCTAGAGCCCATGTGCGCTGGTGGAAAGCCCTGCATGGCCTGGAATGAAGCTTGGAGCTTGGACTACGCCCGCCAGTGTGCCAGTACCACTCTGAGCAGTCATGCGTGTCACTGCCCCAGGTTGTACCACCCATGGTCCTTACCACCACTGGGGTGGACACTGTGACTCAGTTCCACATTCATGGGAAGGATACCAGGGCACAAGCAGGGAATAGTACATTGGGGGGGAGCACAGGATTCAGACGCAGATCCCGCCCATAACAACCACACACAACGGCTGTGCCCTCCTGCCTGCGCCCTTGCCCTGGCTCCGGGCTGCCCAGAATGTACTGCTGGGCAGTATGCAGGCTCCTCATGCGCCTTCTGAAGAGTCTTCCCAGGGCTGCTGTGGGAAGGGGGGAGCAGGCTGGATGGAGGCCCAGTGGCAGGCCGCTTGGGAGAGCCAGAGTTCTAAGTATTTGTAAATAAATACAATTCCCCAACTTTCTCATGGTGTTTCAAAGCTGCCACACAGCCCTCTCCTGCCTCTGCCTCCCCAGAACCCATTAGTGCACCCGGACCCAATCAAGCAGCCGATGCAGTTTTGTCAAGCAGCGCCGGCTGCCAGGCCTGTTTTTCTATTTGGATAGCTGAACGGGGGCCAACCCGCCATCTGTCGAACATGTTAGGAGCATGAGCTGGGAAAGGAGGTCCCGGGAGGTCTGAAGATGCCAAACACCCTCCTCTTTCTTGCTGGCCCCTCCTCTCCTGAGCAGCCTCCCCTGGGCTGGCCCGGCAGGGTGGGGACATCACGGGCACCGGCTGGTCGCTGCCGGGGTGGTGGAAACATCTGGATTCTTGGCCGGCTGGGGCCAGCTGGGAGCCAGGGCCACGGGTGGAGGCTGGCTGGGTGGGGCGGCCTCTTCCAGCTTCTGGAAAGCTCCCTCACTCTGCCATGTACAGTGCTCAGCTCAGGAGAGGGTGCAGGAGGTCTCGGGTCTTTGGCTGGGGGTACAGGGACACCAGCCCAGAAGAAATGGGTGGAAACTGTGGAAAGCCATGTCTCAAAGGCTCCCCCAGGCAGCGGTTCCCACTGTGCTCCAAAGGTCCAGGTGCCGGAGAGGCCTTACCAATTTGATGCTAGAGAGACTAAAATGGTGGCAAAAGCTCTCTGATCAGGCCTCGACACCACTGTCTCAACAAAGGTTCTGATGCTGCAAAAAGCGGGGAACTACCCTCTTCACAGATGGGAACTCGGGCCAGAGGGAAATCCGGGTTTGCAAAAACCACCACAATAATGGTTAGTTTAGCTGAACACTCCCATTTAACGACAGTTTATGATGTTTCAGCTGCTTCGCCAAGTACCTCCTCTAATACCCATAGAGACTGTCTGACTGTGGGCCCTGTGGCCAGCCAGCCCTGCTCTGCTGCATGACCTTGGGCAAGTCACTTAACTCCTCTTTCTGCCTCATCCACAACTGGAGCTGTGAGAAGCACCTGGTCCTCCCATCCTGGGTGTGAGGGGGCTCCTGGGAGCTTCTTAAAATTAACTCATTCATTCCCAGCACCATGAGATGGGTTGTCACATTCCAGGTGATGGGGGATAGGACCAAGGCTGGAGTTTTTTAGAAGCCCATAGTCAGACCCAGGGCTGGAATCAGGGTTTGAGCCAGGTGGCTGCCTGAGCTGCACTTTCGGCCACAGTTCCTACCTCTGCAGTGCAATAAGGGCCCCACTGTGAGGGTGCATCAGCGCTGCCCACATGGTAGGCCTGGTGCACTACCACTGTGCCAGCGAACATTACAGAGGAGGAACCGAGGGGCACAGTGGACTGGGCAGGGGGCACTCCTGTTGGGATCTCCCACAGTGCCCTACATTCTAAAGCAGCCAGGGCTCCTACAACATGAAGGTAGGAGCTACTCCCCAGGCAAAACAGTGGCACCAGGCCAGAGCCTTGTCAACAAGCCCTGGAAACAGAACTGGCTGCACCCCAGGAGCTGCATGTCCACGAGGGGAGTGGACTGTGCGTCCTTGACAGTCTTGTCCACCCAGGGCCCTGGTGGGGTCCTGCACCCCACAGGAAGGCACAAATGCCCTAATAACACACAAGAACTGCTATGGGCAAAGGGGAAACTGAGGCAGAGAGGTACCTCAGCAGGCAGTGCTAGGCTGGGCGCATCCTGTCCAGCACTTCATGGGGTGTGCCTGGGAGGATGCTGGGGTGCATGGTGCAATGGGCAGTGAGTGGGCAAGGCCTAGCTGTGGCGAGCAGGGGATACGGATGTCGGCCCTACCCATGCTCCTCAGATAAACAAGGGCAGCTGATGCGAGCGGGCTGGACATCTGCTGTAAATATTTGACCCAACAGCAGAAGCAGGCGCACTGTGTCCCCAAAGATGGGGAGTGGTGGAGTCAGCAGTAAGTTGAAAGGAGGAGCGAGAAGGGAAGGGCCCCTAATGAATTGCAAATGACTGCCAGATGGGCCCAAACCCGCTCCATGCCAGCAGCCTCTTTGTCGCCAGCTCAGGGTGTGAGCTCAGTGGGGTGTGGGTGGGAGGGCAGGAAGGGGGGAGGAAGCAAATGTGGGGGCACAATGAGGGGTTCCCTTGGCTCCTGGGTTCAGGGAACAAGGTGCTGACCTGGGGCATGCCCTGCAGGAGCAAAGGCAGGGCGTTTGGAGTCTGATGAATCGAGGTTCCAGCCTTGGCTCCATCTTTCCATCAGTAGGGGAGACCTCAGGGCCTCAGTTTCCCCTCCTGTTAATCAGGGACTGAGCCTGTGCTGCCCCTCCTCACAGGGCTGCTGGGGGTCGGCAGGGGTGGTGTCCAAAGAGATTTGCAAAGTATGCCTTCTTTGCAGAACATTGTAAAATCCCAGTGATGATAGCCAATTCTTCATGTGCATTGCTTTATGCATCTTCCCTGTAGCCTGAAAATGATTCCCATTTTACAGCTGTAGGAACTGAGGCATGGAGGGGCGAACCAGCCTGGTCCAGGTCAACAGGGGCTCAAACCTGGGAGCATCTGGTCTGTCCTCAAGACCCTCTGGAAGGCAGCCCCAGCAGGGCCTGCCATGCAGTGAGCAGGGCCTGCTCTAGACACACCTCGGAGGCCTGGGAAATGAGAGCCCCAGGGGCAAGCCAGCAATACTCCGTCTGGCATCTCACAAGTGAGCCCCACAGAAACCTGGCTTTGGGAGGTGCACAGCAGCAAAGGGTCTTGGGGGAAAATACACTTGGGAACTCTTTTACCTGGGCTCTTTTGGGAGGTAGCTGAGCCTTGTCTGTGGGAGTAAAGCCCCTGGGAAGTACTACAGTGAAGACATTGTTCAAACATGGCCTAGACCTATGCTTGTTCTTGTTAAAATGCAGGTTCTTATTCATTGGACCTGCATTGCCCATAAGCTCCTGGCACTGCTGCTAGAGGCCCCGGTCAGGCGTTCATCCTCCATGTTTGACTACACGACCTTTTTTATATCTAACGGCATTCAGCTCTTTACCTTTTCACTAACACAACCACCCACCACCTGTCTGTCCACCCATCTGTCCCTCCATCTGTCTACTGTCCCTTTCCCCTTCACTGTGTTCCGGCTACACAGCCCTCTCACCTTCCCTCACACACAACAGGCACACCCTGCCTCAGGGCCTTTGCACGTCCTTGGAAGGAAAGCTCTGTGCCCTGCCATCCACCAGGCTCACTCTCATTCCTCCTCAGTCCTCCTCATTTGCCCCCTCCTCACATCACACACCACAGAGTTTATAGCTACTGCTGGTTAGTTGCCTCTCCTAGTCCCTGGCACATAGTAGGCACTCAAGAAACAGCTGTCCAGCAGATGAGTGCCTTTGGCCAATAGTAACAGGACTGACTGGGGAGTTCTATCTTAGAACACTTGGTTCAGTAGCCAACTCATCCACCTGGTCAGAGCTGTTCCCCTGGGGCACCTGTAGACTGAGCATGATGTGGGTCAGAGCTGGCAGGGAACGGACTTGGGGCTCCTGGGGGAGGCCTTGGGACGAGGGAGTAGGGTTTACTGTTACCTTCAGGAAAGGGATGACGAATGGACGCAGTGGAAAGTTGGTGGCCTCCTGGAGCTTGGAATGAAACTCCTCAATGGTCAGTGTAGAGTTCTGAGGGGAGAAAACCACCAGGCATCAGCCTGAGCCCCGTCCACCCAGCCCTCCTGGGGCAGCAGGCCCCAGGGCTGGGCATGGCCCCATGTCATGTGTCCTTGCTCAGCAGACACACACCCTCCGAGGCCACGTTGTCTGGACTCACCACAAGCCCCAGCACAAGTGTGCGCACACGCTCCCCTATCTCTGGGGAGATGTCGCTGCCAAACTGCTGCAGGGTGGTGAGGAAGCGCTTGAGTTTGCTGAGCTGCCGCGCCCCACACGCTGGAGGCAGGTGTTGTGTGGACAGTGAGGCCGTGGACGAGGTGGCCGGGCCATTGCTGAAGCCGTTGGGTGTGGATGGGGTGCTGCTGATGGCTGTCGGCGAGTGGCTGGTGCCGTTCATTACTATAGGGGAAGAGGGAGGTGTGAGGAGCACGGCAGAGAGCTGGAGTCCCCAAGTAGAGTCACAAGGACGTGACAGGGGCACCAACACCATTTACAAGTGTGCAGACTGGGGCCTGAACAGGTGCAGCCTCGCCCCAGGGCCTCAGTGGGTGGGGCTGCTTGCTCAGGCCCTCCATACCCCAGAGGGACGCCAACCCCTGTGCCGCCTGGCGTCCCCCTACTTCCCAGCCAGGCTGCTCAGTGTCTACTGTGGACGGGCAGAGGGGCTCCTCTAATACTAGGGGTATGCTGGCCCAATTCAACCCTTCTCAGGAGGGGCCACTCATCCACCCTGGGGGGCTGGTGACCCCACCTGCATCATGACAGCTCTGAGAGGTGCCCACTCTTAAAGAGGTGCCGTTGCCCATACAAGTTCCCCAGTGCCTTTGCCCAAGGCTTGGGTAGGGACACCCCAGGACAAGTGGGCTTGGAGCTGAGCAGGGGAGCCCAGGCTGGCTGGCCGTGTGGCTGCTGTGCAGGCAGATGTGTGCACACGGGCCCCAGGCCGTATGTGGAAGACAGCAGGTTGCTGAGAGGCCCACCATTAGCACACTGCCAGGGCCCCAGGAGCGGCGCTGTTAGGTACCCAGGCCTTCCCACTGGCGCTATTGTCCCAAGGAGTTCCAGGACTAGGAGAGGCCAGGGGTGCTGTGAAATGGTCCTAGGGCAGGATGTCCTCCCTCACCCTTGGGTGACAGGGCCTTCACACTGCAGTCTAGGGGGGCCCTCTGTGTCTGACCACTTGTTTGCCAGTCCTCCAGCCTCAGAAAACCTAGCAGTGATCTCTAGGGTCTACAGAGAAGTCAGAGGCTGCAGGCTTTCAGGGCCCTTGGTGATGGTGGAGGGGGCCAAGGGTTGGGGGAACAGGACACCTTTGGAAGGCCTGAGGCTGGGCTGCTAAACCTGAGGGCCTCTCACACCTTGTGTCCTCAGCTGCCGCACAGGCAGCTCTAGGTGGCTCACTTATGTTCTTACACTCAGCCCCTTGTATGCTCATCTGCCTGTTCCCTTGTCCTGCACGTGTGGGTGCTCCGGGCACAAGGGTTGGGACTGGACATCCTGCCCGAGGCCCCAAACTGGCTGGACTACCCTAGATGTGGGTGAGACTTGGGGCCTGGCCCCAGTTCCTTCATATGCAAATAGCCCTTGGCCAAAACAGGGGTGGAGCTTCTCCACTCTGCAGGTACCTGGCCCCTCCACTCCAGGCTTCTGAGGCTTAGAGAACCAAGGTTAGCTTTCCACCACTGGAAGGAGCCTGAAACGCTGGACCTTGATTGCTTTTATGTGCGGGTGATCACTCATCAGTAACTGGCCCCTAGTTGGCAGAAGTTTGGAAACCACTGACTGAAGGCCAGGTTTGCACAAGAACAGATGTGCTACCTCTGTCCTGAGGAGGGACGGTCGGGCACAGGAGCAGAGCCCAGAGCCCTGCTGCCGAGGCCCGAGGCCTTCTCAGCACAGCTTCCCCTGCCCCGAAGATGGAGCTGCCATGCAGGCTGAAACCCGTTTGCCTCCCTGATCTGGATGATCCTAGAAGTGCTGTGTGGGCCCCAGCAGTGACATGCCAGCTCTGGGACAGTCCCACAGGAAAGGTGCGCCTTGCCCAGACTGTGCTCCTTGCTCTTGGATGGAGAGTAAACTCCAGACACAGGACGGGAAGAGGCCCTGCCCCTCACCCTGTCTGAGGAATCATCTAGAGGACGCTTAGACCAGAAGATCCCACTTTTGTGCTATTTTTCTGTCTCACTGGCGAGCCCCAGCCAACCCCATGGTGGACCCTGACATGCACACACCCTGGTCACGACAGATGACAGCCACTGGCGGTCACTCTAACCAGGTCAAGAGATGGCCCCTTGCCACAGAAGACCTTTCCGCAGTGGGGGACTCATTCCTTGTGGTAGAGTTGGACTATCACCTGGGGTCTGGACCTTTCCGAGGCCTCTGAGATGTATGGCTGTCCACGCGGCCTGGGTCCCCACCCACGGCCCCTGGCCCGGCCTGGACCTGGCCTCCCTGCAGCTCCCTTACCAGCCTGCCCTCGGTGCCTGGGTCCTCCCGGAGGCCTGCTTGCCCTCGCTGGCCCGTGCTCCCTCCCTCGGGCTGCCGGGCAGTCTCAGCAGCTTGCTAAAGAGACGCCGAAAATAACCCCAGCCACAAGTGCTTTCATTCCACAACAGGTGTGTTACTAAGTTAGACCGCACACGTGTCCCTGGCTGAAGTTTGGGGGCACACACTAGCACCCCCCACAGCTCCCCCAGCCCTGGGCCTGGGTGGGGGTCAGGCTGGGATGATGAACCAAAAACAGCCTTCATTCCAGCCCTCTCCTTGCTTCAGGGAGGCTCTGGGGCTAGGAATCATGCAGTCCTAAGAGTACTGCAGCTCAGAGGATGAGCTGGACATGAGAGCAAGGCCAGGCGTCATAGAGTAATGGCAAGGAGGACCACGTGTCACAGGACACGAGCACCACACAATTGTTATGTCACCTCTTCTTGGAGCCCAGAGCCACGCAGCAGCCATGCCTGGGCTGTGCAGCTCAACTGGCTTGCAGTGGGTACCTGTCCTATCGCTGGCTGGCAAACACTGAGCATCACTCCATGAAAACTTCCTGTCATGGGCATTGGATGTGGCCTGAGCACTTTGCCAGAAGGTCCACTAGTGGCTGGTGCCCACTGAGCACCCAGTGTGTGCCACACCTCCTCCCGACTTCGCTAATAACATCTGATAACTTCCAGGTGGGGAAACTGAGGCACAGACGGTTGTACCTGCCCAAGTTCACTTGACTGGGAAGAGGAGGAGCTGGAATTCCGCCCAGCCTGGTGTCTGCCCTTGAGATGCTGAGCTATGAATTTGTACTGACAGTTACCTTCTTACAACTCTGGGATCTGCCATATTCACCCTGTCTGTGGACTGGGAAAAAGAAACACTGAGAGGGTGTCCACCTGCCTCAGGTCATACAACTCGTGAGGAGCAGGGCTGGGCTGTGACTGGGGTTCTGAGGACTCTGACTGCTCTGCGCTCCTGGGCCTGTCCCTCGGGCCTCTGCTCAGGCCTCACCGACATGCAGGCGCAATGGTGGGCTGTGCAGACAAGTGGGACCAGCAGCACAGCCTTCTCAGGGCAGAGGGTGTAGGTGAGAACTTCCCACGAGGTCTGTGGTTTTTGTTATTTTACTTACAAAGACAGACCATAGACCATTTTAAGCAGCCATGAAAACGGCCGTGGGGCAGAGACATCGCAGGCCCATCCTCTCGATCTGTAAGCAAAATAAGAAAAACACTCTGTGAGGAAAGGGCCCGTGGCTAGGTGGCTCTGCCCTGCAGGGTAGGGTGTCTGCGATTGGCCCCACCCCTCTCTGCTTCTTGACAGCAGTTTTGGGGATCGGGACTGTCACCACCTTGGGCCAGTCATTTCCTTCTCTGGGCTTCAGTTTTCTCTGTAAAATGAAGCTGGATGGTGGAATCTCTCGGTGACATTTCTGGCAGGACCTGCTAGGTGTCTGTAAGAGGTTTGGCATCTCCATCTACATGGGTGGGACACCCTGGTCCTTAAAAAGCTCTTTTCTGGGAAGGCACTTGGTGACCCCACTTAGCATCATCCCCAAGGGACCTGGAGCCTGAACTGACTCGTGAATCAGGGCTTGGGGTCTCCATTGACAGACAACCCAGTGGTGGTTCCAAAATGAGCTGCCAGGAGGGGAGAAAGCACCAGACAGGAAGGGAGATTTGATGTGTCTGAGCTGGAGTTAGCAAGCGGAAGTTGCAAGAAGACAAACTGTCCTGCCCTAATCAGGGAGTGAGCCCCTTGTTAAGGGGGTAATCAAGGGCAGAATGGAGTATTAGCCCTTTGAGGGTCCTCTCAGCTATAGAGTAGCTCCTTACATTCCTCCCTGACTTCTCTTAGTCTTCCTGCCCACCTCCCTGGCCACATGACAGCTTCAACTCCAAAATGAATTTGTGTCCAGGGAAGTCACTGGGCAAGAAAACCACAGCCTGGTTCAAGGCCAGCCTCTGGTTAACTTGGCTCACAAGCTGGTCCTGGGGAAGCTGGGGAGGCTCTTGGCAGGGATCCATGGCTGAGCACAGGGGCACCTTCTATTTGGGCTGCCACCAGCCAGATGCAAGACATGGTTAGCCACCCCGCTCTCAGGGAATTCCTCAGTAGGGAAAACGTCTGAGGCCACCTTGGAGGTGGCCTGACACTTGGAGAGATGGTCCCAGCAGCCCAATAAAACTAAAGTGTCTGCTTAAAAAAGAACGACTTGTCTCTTATGACCTCTGCGCTCTAAATAGAGCCCGGACCTTGGATCCAGGAGCATGAGCCCAAAGTGGTTGGGGGCACACGGGGAAGCAAAGGGTGTGAGGGGAGGACTTGCTACCCGCACGCACACCTGTTCACAGGCCTCATCAAACACAGAGGGGCAGTGTCAGCTGACCCTAGCCCCATCCCCAACCTGGAACATCTGGCCGCGAGACCATGGCTTTCTGGAACAGAGGCTCCTGGACCAAGAAGAAAAGTAGGCTGAGGGAGATGCATGTGCCCATCAGGGTTGGAGACCCAGCTCAGAGCCTTGGCCCGACCACCAAGTGCCTGCTGGTTTCTTCTGTGTAGAGCGAACACGAGCTGGGGTTTAGATGGGGGCCTGTGGCATTTTCTCTTGGAAGCTGCTGCTGCCCTGTCATGAGCAATTCATTCCTCTTCCCCCCCAGCTGAGGCACAGGCTGTGAAGTTCAACACAGCTAGTGCATCTTCTCTCTGCCTATGGGGCCCTGATGGGGTGGCACCTGTTGAGTGGACAGAGATGCTGTCTACAGTCACAGGTGAGGACTGACTCCTCTGAAAGAGAGGGCAGAATGGCCAGGCAGCCCCAGTGGCCGTGCAAGAATGGTGTATGGGAGAAAGCCCAGCCTCTGGCCCCTTCTGGGGTGGCTGATACAGGCAGACAAGGACCCTTGGGCTGAGAGCAGTGCAGTGAGCACCCTGCTGCCCCGGACCCTGTCCTGGCGCAGGAGGCAGGGCCAGGACCTGCTCCAGTCTCTGTGATGCATGGAGACCTCAGCCCAGACCTGGTAAAAATGGGGAGCTGGTGCCTTCTCTGCCAGGCGAAGGAGCAGAGAAGGGTATTTGGTCACTAAGCTCCTACTGTGTGCTGAGATTTCTGTGCTTCCAGGCTGCCACATGTGGAACCAGGTAGCATCACCCCATTTATCAAACCGAGGCTCAGAGAGTCCAGGAGACTAGCTTAAACCAACACATCCTACAAACAAAGGGTCAAGCTTGAGCCCACAGCCAATGCCTTTTTCCTGAGGGAGGCTGGGCCCTGGTGAAGCTGGGGATGGTTTTGGGTGGCTGAAGTAGCTTTCTTTATGCGCAGGCGTAAAGAGATCTAGGCTGGGCCCTGTGGCCCACCCCAGGCTCTGGGCCTTGGCTAGAGGCAGCAGCTCTTCCCTTCCAGCCCAGTGGGGACTAGGAGCCCCAGGCTAAGGAGTCTAAGGCTCCTGCCTCCCCCAGAGAACCTTCATTTGGGTTTCAAAGCCTGAGGAAGGGTTCCCAGGTATGGGGCTTCTGACCTCTGAACATAGGGGCAGGTGGCGCATGGATTCTCTCCACTGCCCACCAGAATTAGAACACACGGCTAAGCCCCTGGCGCTGAGGTCAGGGGACACCATCCCCACGCTGGCCCGAGTCCAAGGGTTTCCTTCCCAACTGTTCAGCACCCAAAGTCACCAAGTCCCCAACTTCTCTGACTCTATGAAATAGGACCCAGCAGTGGCTGTGGGCGATCCCAGAGCTGCGGTGAGTGCCAAGATGCTCGACCTGGATCTAACCCCGGGCTGACAAGACACTGCCCGAGGGTCTCCTCTACCCACCTTGCTGCTAGTAGCTGAGGCCCTGCTAACCCCAGTTTCTGGCTGACCTGCTGAGGCCGAGCTACAGAGCCCTTGGTGTATCTGAGCCAACATGGAGCTCCTCAAAGGCCAGAGCTGCCTTCAATGGGCTCTCTGGGAGGGCACAGGCCTGACTGAATTTACTTGCGCTCTGGTAACCTGCTGTCTGCCTGAGCTGCACATACAACAGTCAACTTCGATGGGACGCTCACAGTGTGCTGGCCCCTGGGTGAGAACTTCCGTTAATTCACTTGTATTCACAGTAGCTGGGTGAGGTGGGGCTATGGCCAGCCCTGCTTTATAGATGAGGAATGCCAGGCCCAGAGAGGTTAAGGAGCTAGCCCAAGGGCACACACACCTGCAGAGTTGAAGAGCTGGATTTGGACCTCAGCTTGGGCTCTGAGCCATGAGGAGATCTGCCTTCTCAAAAGCCTCTTGGGGAGTGTTTAAGGGTTTAGGGTGGAGGAACCACAGCACTGGCTCTATTCCCATGAATGAGGTTTGGTGCCTCAGACAACTTGAGGGGTCCCGGAGGCACTTCTCTGCTCTGCTCTGCTCAGCCCTTGGAGTTACTCACTTGTGTGGGGAGTGAAGGAGGGGTGCCGTGTGGTGCCCTGGGTCACAGAGGACGGAGGGGGCGGCATGCTGGGGGGCGTGGACCGGGGCTGTGTCTTCACCTCAGCGGGGGAGTCGGGCATCGCTGCAACCTTCTTCTCCTTCCTGTCTGCTGCTGTGGGGAATGTGCGGGGAGGAGAACAGAGAAAGTCAGTGAAGCAGGCTGAGAGGGAGGGGGATCAGCAACCCCTCCGACCTAGTGCCTGACCAACGCCTCTCCCCCCACAACCAGCAGCTGGTTTTGGGCCAATGGGGGACACTTTGTCTCTGCCCACAAAGCCAGGTCCAGTCCCAGGGCCTGGCCAATTGCAGATAACCTCCGGCTGTGTTCACAGGTGGCTAACATTCCAGCCACCTGGGCCAGAGGGTGGGCGCGGGTCAGTCCATTCAGATAGGCCGGAGGGTGTAGCTGTGAGAGGCCTGGGCTGGCCAGAACAGGGCTGAGGTCCTCACTGGAGGGGTGGGTGGCCCTGATCCTGCAGACCAGGGGGTCGGGCAGCACCTCCCAGGGCAGTCTCCACCAGTACTTCCTGCAGGCCCTGTTCAGACACACGTGTAGGCCTCCCCACCCCCAATTTTGATTCAGCAGGTGAGGGGTGGGCCCAAGAATCTGCATTTCTATCAGGGTCCCAGATAAGGCTATTGCAGTGAGTTGCGGCCCCATTCAGGATGGTCTGGGTGGTGGAAACCTCAATTTAACCATCTCCTCACCCTGAGTGATTCCTGGGAGCAGCCAGGCTGGGGACAGGACATAGTCAATTTCAGGCCATTTGAGGCATGGCCACTCAAAGCGTTGTCCATAGACCAGGGGCAGTGGCCCTGGACACTGTGTCAAGAGTCCCGCATGGTCAGAGGTGTGGAGAAGGGGTGGAAGTGGCAAAACCAAGCCTGGGTGGGGGCCTGAGCCCCTGGCTTCACAAAGCAGGACCCAGAGGAAAGGCCTCTGAGTGAACCTGACCAGCCGCGCAAACCCTGAACCAGCAGCTGCCTGGGCCTTCTTTGCAGGTGACGAGGGTGGAACGCTGGCCTCCCCTACATCTTAACACAGGTCAGCCAGGGCCCGGGAGAGCCGCGAAGACCTGGGAGCAGGGGCTGAAATTCTGGGCGGCCCCACTGCTCAGGGCTGTGGAGGGGCATGTTTTTTCCCTAATACACGAAGAGGCGCAGCCCCCACTGCCGTGAGCTCATCTTGCTAACCCTGTGGGGGTCTCACTCAGGGCCGGGGACCTGGTGGGACAGAACCACTGTCAGGAGCAACACCCTTTAGCAGTCTCTCTGTGGCTGCATTCTTGTTCCCTCTGCTCTCCCCCTGCATTTTTCCTCCTAGAGGCCCCCTGTGATTGGGGGGTGTCAGGGAAGACACAGACACACAGGAGTGTCTGGGGCGGCCTGCCTTTGGGGATGGTAATTAATAATGCTAACAAATGGCATTTACCATTATTTCATGCCCAATGCTATGAAAATTTCCCTTCGTCTGTCCCACCTCCCCCTTCACAGAGTGGAGATGCCCACCTATCCACAGCACCGGGGAGGGACTCTCAGAGTTCTCACTGCAGGGCCCTGTGGGGTGAGAGTGAAGCCCCTCCCTACTGGGCCCCACGCAGGGGAAGCAGCCAGAGTCAGCAGCCACCCAGCCTCACAGCACCTGCTGTCCACTCAGCTGCAATTGCTGGCCTCCCTCCTGCTGGGCGCCATGCCCCTCCCCCACAGCCCGCCTGTCAGGAGTCTGATGGCCGAGCACATGTGCATCACAGCTGTGGGGCCCATCAACACCAGAGTTGGTTGCAGGGCCAGTGGCCAATCCCCCGGTGACAACCAAAGAAGGTAAGTGTGGCTGGCCGCCATGGACCTTGAGCCACCCCATGGGTGCAGGCTGTCCTGGCCAGCCCTTCATCTGACCAGGCCACCCCAGGGCAGGCAGTCCCACCAACACACTTGGAAGGGAGTTTCAGATGCAAGGCTGGGCCACAGGACAAGGGCCTGTTCCGACTTTCCAAAGCCCTTCCATACAGGGGCTTGGCAGGAGCCTGGGAGATCAACAGACCAGAAAGGCAGATAAAGGAAAACCCCACCTGGAAGGGTGAACTGGCACTCCTTACACAGTGCTTGTTTAACAGCCTCACGGTCAGCAAGGGGCAGAGGAAGGGGCTAGGCGGGACCAACTCCACATGTGGCACTATCTTCACAGCCCTTGAGAGACAGGTTCTGGACACACTCATCCCACAATGCCTGCTGGGGCTTGAGGATGGAGCAGGCCGGGCTCCTCGGGTGCCTGGTGACCTCCTTTGGCAGAAAAGGAGAAGGAGGCAGGTCCGAGGCCATCTGCTCACTTAGGAGAGGATGCAGGTCCTGCTCTTGGCCCCGGACAGCCATTGCTCCCTTCCTTCTCACCCAAGCCCTGTTTACAGGCACTGAGCACACAGGGCACAGAGCAAGTGCAGGGCATGCTGGCAGTCATGTGGGTCTGCGGGCTTTGAAGCACGAGCTGTTTTCAACAGGCACTCTTCTCACTGTGCAAGAGGTGTCAGGTCTGGGATTCAAATCCAAGCTGACTGAGGCTGCAGGGGGAGGCTCTGGGGTCTGAGTGTGGTGGGACCACAGGTGCACCCCCCAGACCTCATGAGTCTTCCTTGAATCTTGTTTGAGTCCCAGCTCTATTGCCCCTGGCTATGTGACCTGGGGCAAGTCGCCGCACCTCTCTGGGGCTCTCTACTCTTGCATACAGGGGGCAAGGCTGTGCACCTTTTCTTGGGCAGATGGGACGTTAGATGAGACTACCAGGTGATAGGCTAGCACATACGAGCACTCACCAAGATTTATAGGGCAACTCACTTGGGACTCTGCCCTTGGGGCTGCCCTCAGCACAGACTCTGCCCCAGAAGGCAGATGATGATGAGGGCCCTCGGAGGGGTGGAGGTGGTATGGACATGGTAAGGAACAGCATTTGTGGTCAAGGAACAGAGAATGCAAAGGCCAGAGGCGAGGGCGGTCAGGGCTCTAGCTGTACAGGACAGTCGGGAAGGAAGGTCAGCTGGGGCCGGGCTGGTGAGGGAGGACTGACTGAATGGCAGCAGGAGCCACTGAAGGCTCTGCATGGCAGCTGGAACGGGTCTGGCCTAAATCCCATTGGCAGCTTCCACGTACATGGGGCTTCACAAGGCCTTGCCAGGCTTGTGTGGCTTGGGGGCAAAGCAGGTGCCTCGCTAGACTCTAAGGAGCCACCAGACAGGAGTAGCCCTGTTCTCCTGGTGCTGGTTTCCTTTCCCACCCCCTTCAAGGCCTCATACCGAGAGAGCCAAGGCTGCCCTGGGGGACCCCAGACCCACCTGGAGGCTCAGACCCCTGGCAACTCTCACTTAACCTTTCTGCCCAAGGTAGCCTGGAGCTTATGGACACTGTGCCCATAAGCCTCTGAGAGCAGAAGCTGACCCAGGCCTGGGGGAATGCGAGGGTGCAGGGGAGGGGCCCTACTCTTGGATTATGGGTGCCAGTGAGGGGTACAGTTGCTGCTTCCCACCAAGGTGGCTGAGGAAGCCAGCATGAGCTGGCTCAGCAGGCAGAGCCCCCAGCAAGTGCAGAGCACTGCCCAGAAAACCTGGGTGAGCCCTGTGAGGTACCCTTTCCCTCCCCATTCTTGGTTCCCCCAACCTTCAGTGCCCACTCGCAGATGTCCTCAGACCCAGGTGGAGCTGGGCCCATGCCCTGTACATCCACACAGTAGCTCGCTGAATCCTCACAGCCTCCCCAGAAGACTCTGGCAGGCAGCCCCCCCCCCCCACCAGTCACCTGCCTGTGAGGGGCAAACCAGTCCTGCCTCATCCACCAGAACCCTGAGCTTGCACTGTCCCCTCTGTTCCCACCCAGGCCTCTCATTCCACGGCTTCAATTCTTGGGTCAGCTGGGGGATATCAGTACCCACAGACCCTCCACTCAATAGTGGGGGTCCCCATGAATAAGCGCTCTTTCTAGGGGGCCCTGATTTGGCAGGTCTGGGGCAGGGCCCAGGCGGCTGGACGTTTGTCATTCTTATAAGATGAACATATAACAGCTGCCTCCATGAAGGGCTCACCAGGTGCCCCCCCCATCAGCTCGCCCATCCCTCAGGTCAGGAAAAGTGAGGCAACCCCCAAACTGGCTTGTATTAGAAACCCGTATTCCAGCGGCTGGACTCACTGCACCTTCACAGCAGGAGGCAGGTCCCATCCATTATCGTGCCCATCTTATAGCCGGGGAAACAGGCTCAGAGAGGGCAAGGGACTTGCTCAGGGTCTTAGAGCCGGATGGACAGCGGGTCCTGAGCCCCAGGTGTCCACAGCCCCTCAAGCTCCCTGCGCACAGCAGTCACTGGGGAGATCAGAGAGTTCAACTGCCAGACCAGCCAGGCTCAGATCAGCACTGCTCAGGACACCATGGAGGCTGACTGGAACAAGGAAGGGGCAGCCGCCTGGGGCCCGGGGTGGGAGGCAGGAGCCACTATTGCTCTGAGTCAGTGGGTGATGCTCCAGGTGCCCCGACTGTGGGTAGGCGAGTGTGAGGACCATCGTCCCAAGTCCACGGGGCCCTCTCCAGATCTCAAAGTGCCCAGGGAAGAAGAAATGAGAGCCACCCACCAGCATCCCCGTGCCTCTCCCAGGCTGTCAGCAGCCAGGGGGCAAAACCAGTGCTGGCAACAGTCCCAGGACCCTGCTGACATAGGCACCCTGGTTCTTTCTTTCTAAAAGTCCCATCAGGCCCAGCTTTGCAAGTGCAGAAACCTGCTTAGTGAAACGAGGGCCTAACCTCTTGGGAGCTCAGAGCCTTGTTACCCGACACTGTAGGTCCCGTCAGCCCTTCTGGGGTGATGCCTGGTGTCATCGCCAGAGGACAGGTGCGGCACAACTCTGGGAGTGCTGCACCCCTATCCCCTGTGGTTCTGGCTCAGGGGTGGACAGTAGGGAGGCGAGGGACCTGCAGCACCAGGGAGCCCCAGAGCGTATGGAAAGGAATATTTGTTATGCGGCTTGACTGACCGGCTGACTTGTGTAGCCTTCCCACAAACCCTCGGAGGCAGAGGGTGCTCCTCTCCATCTTACAGGTGAGGAAACTGAGGCACGGAGAGCCTCAGAGCCCGGCCTG